CACAGAAAGTAGAATGGTGTTGCCAGGGGCTGGGAGGAGGAGGGGAACGGAGAGTTAGACCTTAATGGGTACAGAGTTTCACTTTTGCAAGGTAGAAAGTGTTCCGGGGATTGATTGCAAAACAGTGTGGATGCACTTAACACTACTGACCTGTACGCTTAAAAATGGTGAAGATTTTGCTACGTATATTTTACCACAATAAAAATATACAAAATACTGCTGGGCTCGGTGGCTCACGCCTGTAATCCCAGCACTTTGGGAGGCAGAGGCGGGTGGATCACGAGGTCAGGAGATCAAGACCATCCTGGCTAACATGGTGAAAACCCGTCTCTACTAAAAACACAAACAGTTATCTGGGCATGGTGGTGCGCGCCTGTAGTCCCAGCTACTCAGGAGGCTGAGGCAGGAGAATCGCTTGAATCCGGGAGGCGGAGTTTGCAGTCAGTCGAGATTGTGCCACTGCACTCCAGCCTGGGTGACAGAGCAAGACTCCATCTCAAAGAAAAAAAAATTCTAGAGTGGGTGTGGTGGCTTACACCTGTAATCCCCGCACTTTGGGAGGTGGAGGTGGGTGGGTCACTTGAGGTCAGGAGTTTGAGACCAGCCTGGCCAACAGGGCAAAACCCCATCTCTACTAAACACACAAAAGTCAGCTGGGACTGGGGGTATGTGCCTGTAATCCCAGCTACTTGGAAGGCTGAGGGAGGAGAATCGCTTGAACCTAGGAGGCAGAGGTTGCAGTGAGCTGAGATTGCACTACTGGACTCCTGCCTCAGTGACAGAGCAAGACTTTGACTCAAAACAAAAACAAAAACAAACTTCTAGGCTCTTTGCCTGTGTTTCCTACACAGTATTCCATTGGTCAGCGTATTACGAAATACAGAACATCATCGGGAGCAGCCTGTCACCTCCCCTTCCAGGAGAGGACCGCCTCTCTCAGCAGACTGCTCTCCAAAATCCAGCCCTGGTTCAGCAACCAGAGACATCTAGGGATCCCTAGCTGTGTGTTTCAGTTAGAAATCTGTTTCATGTATGTTTCAGAAAAAGAGAGAGAATAGGGGCTGCCGGAGCACAGAGGAGGGTTCCCAACTCATGGGAGAGGTGCTCACAGAGGGCTGCCTGGGGGAAATGCCATTAGAGTTGGGTTTTGAGGGATGAGTAGGAGTCAGCCAGACCATGGCCAAGGGGAAAGAGATTCCCCAGGAGAAACAGCCTGTACTCACCTGGAGATGAACTGACAGTTCAGACTGGTTGGTTCATGGTAGTAAGAGACTCAGTGGGCGGAAGTGGGACCCCAAGACTGGCTTATGCCATGCCTTATGGGATTGAGTGATACTTTTGTCCCAATGGCGCTTAGTATAGGGAAGCGGCATTTTAGACAGATCTCTCTGGCCGTCAAGAAGCCTGGCTTGGTGCATCAGCTGTGTGGGCAGTGCCCAGAAGACAGCCGGTTTGTCCACACTGATGAGTTAGCAGAAGCCATAGGGAGGCAGCCTTTGCTGTGCGTCATGGTCATTCAGAACCGTTCTGTGGCCTGCGTGGATGATCCACGTTCCTGTCACAGGGACTCTGAAAAGTGGACCCTGGACATTTCTGGATGTAACAGCCACTGTTTTGACTAGTTGTGACCCTAAGCATCTCCTAATGGTTAGCCACTTGCAATTTCTACCTGTTGGGAACCCCAGGATATCAACTCGCAAGGGCAGGAGTGGGTTGCCTTGCTCGATACAGCACCCTGTGCTCAGCATGTGGCACATGCCCATAAAATAGTGGATGAAAGCATTTTTCTGGGGCCACATGCGCTGTGAGAACTGGGATTCCCTCTCCGGCCACACAGCTGGCTGCTTCATCTCAACACAGCTCTGTTGATCTGGATGTGCTCTCAGTTGCAGAAAAGCTCAGGAAGTGATTTACAAAACGAACAACTAGTTTTGAAATGCAAAATTAACCTTGGAGAAATGTATTAATGTATGCAATTTATTCTGGAATGTGACAAATAATAACATGCATTCACAGATAAAGAGAGTGATGGACAGAGGAAGAGAACAGTGTTTTTTTTTTGTTGTTGTTGTTTTTTTGAGACGCAGTTTCACTCTTGTTACCCAGGCTGGAGTGCAATGGCGCAATCTTGGCTCACCACAACCTCCGCCTCCTGGGTTCAGGCAATTCTCCTGCCTCAACCTCCTGAGCAGCTGGGATTACAGGCACGCGCCACCATGCCCAGCTAATGTTTTGTATTTTTAGTAGAGACGGGATTTCACCATGTTGACCAGGATGGTCTCGATCTGTTGACCTCGTGATCCACCTGCCTCAGCCTCCCAAAGTGCTGGGATTACAGGCTTGAGCCACCGCGCCCGGCAGGAGAACAGTGTTAAAGAAGGTGTAAGCATGGTCAAATGTCAGTGGTGGCATCAAGATGGCGGGTTGGGGTGAGTGCTATGAAATATTTTGACTAATTGGCATTTGGAAATTTTTGTAATAAAATGTTAGGAAAAAAAAGACCCTGAGAAAAAAGGCCAATGATTTTTGGAAGAGAGGAAGACAAAATAATGAGATAATAAATAAAATAATAAATTGGGGAAGGCCAAAGAAAGGAGTAGAAATGGGGATAACCCAGCCCACATTTACATTTGTGATGCGGAGGAGCACACTGCACATGCGGAAATGTGAGGTTCCTCTGAGTGGTTTAGGGCTACAGAATCTGCCAATCAGGAAAGAGGGCAGCCTGTGCCCAGTGCGGGCTCTGGCATGAAGAGCGAGGTTTTTGTCAAGGATCTGAATGATGGCATTGGCTGAATTAGCCAGGAAGGCAGGGAGGCAGGAGGAGTGGAGCTTGGTCTACAAGATTCTCCCACATTTTGGGATCTAGCCCTTGCAAAGGTTCAGGACTTATAGAAAGACATTAAGCCCAGGGGGATTGGGTCTGAGCCAGCCTGGGTCCCTGGCCTGGCCCCTCCTCTTACCAGCTATGTGCACATGGAGAAGACAGCTCATTTCTGAGCCTGGGTTTTCTTGTGTATAAAAATGAGGATAGTGGCCAGGTATAGTGGCTTACACCTTTAAATCTAGAAGTCTAGGATGCTGAGGTAGGAGGGTCACTCAAGGCCAGGAGTTTGAGACCAGCCTGGATGACATAGCTAGATCCTGTCTCTAAAAAACTAAAAAACTTAGCTGGGCATGGCAGTGCATGCCTGTAGTCCCAGCTACTTGGGAGGCTGAGGTGGGAGGATCATTTGTGCCCAGCAGGCTGAGGCTGCAGTGAGCTGAAATCATGTCACTGGACTCCAGCCTGGGCAACAGAGCAAGACCCTGTCTCTTATTTAAAAAATGAGGATAGAATGTATGTAGCAGCCACCTCCAAGGGTCACATGAGGATTGTGTGGAAGGACGCTAGAGCCTGGCATGTGACCAGTGGCCATTGTGAGTGTTCAGCTAGCGCCCAACCTGCCCAAGAAGACCTCTGTCCACACTCAGTGGTCTGATCCTTTCTGTCTTTCCTCCAAGGGAGAAAAGGCGGCCTTGTCAGAGAAAGCGCTTTCAGCTGATGTCCAGAGTCAACTCCAGCATCATTAGCAGCAGATGGTAACTTGTATCCAGGTTTGAAATCCAGAGGAAAACAAACAATCAACCCGTAGTCTTCAGGATGCAAAGCAAATCAGAGCTTCCTCCTCCCCATCCCAGAGGGCTGCATTTCAGCTTGTTATCAATTCCTCGCATCCTTTCCTGAAGGGTCTGCTGATGCAGACCACCATTAGGTGCTGCTGTGGATGGAAATTAACTGCTGTCTTCTAGGCTAACTGGGCCATCTCTGCGGCTAAGGATAGAGCTCCAACTCAAACTAGTGCAAGCATTAAAAAAACAAACCATGGATAGGTTCCTGGGACCGGGCTACTGATTTCAGGCAGGGCTTGATCCAGGCATCCAAATACCAACAACAGGACTGGGTTTTCCCCTCTCTCTGGGCTTGGCTTCCCCCTGCATTGGTGGGTTCTCTCCAAATCAGCACTGTCAGACATCCCTAAAGAATTCTGATTGGCTCTACTGGGGATACATGCCCATACCTGCATCACCACCATCAGGGGGAATGGAGGACTCTGATTGGCCCAGCCCTGGTAAGGGGGAAATGCCTGGAAAAGACATCAGGTAGAATAAAAGTAACAGTTGTTGTTATGTGTTTTGGAGACAAAATTGAATAGTCCCTGTGTGCTGAGAAGCCATGGTGGGTGGTGGGTGGGGGGTTCTTCTGCAGTTTGGGTCCATGTACAACCAACTCCTAAGCATGGCTTAAGCCTGCCCACCAAGGACCTAGGTCATAAAAGGAAAAAGCTGGGTTTTAGAGCCAAACAGACTTGATTCAGCCCCGGTTCTATCCCTGTGTAACCATGAACAAACGCCTTCATCTCTCGGCGCCTCGGCTTCCTCATCTGCACAACGGGGTGGGTCAAGGTGGTGGAAAGGAATGTACCTGGCATGCGAAGTATCTGGGCCAATCCCCCCACCCCCTTCTTCCAGAGAAGTTCCATTTTTGCCTGTGGTATAGACTAGGCTTGCATATAATCTTTTTTTAAATTCCCTCATCCAGGACGTTTGGGGGAAAAAAATCTTTTCCTTGCAATACCAGGCCAGGACAGTTTTTTTTTATTATTATACTCTAAGTTCTGGGGTACACGTGCAGAATGTGCAGGTTTGTTACATAGGTATCCACGTGCCATGGTGGTTTGCTGCATCCATCCCCCATCATCTACATTAGGTATTTCTCCTAAGCTTGCATAGAATTTTCTAAAACATTTTCCCCCAGTGCTTTCAAAAAGGGATGATTTTGTCCAGCTCAGTCCAGCCTCCAGCCCCTTTCACTGCATCCCCATCTGCCCCTGTGATGGGAACGTAGTCAGGGTCTCAGCTGTGGTGGCGGGAATGGAGGGTGCCAAGGTGAACACCTACCCTTGCCCCGGGGGCAATCTGCCTTCTCCAGTTCAGAGTGTAAAGTCAAGGCCAAAGTGTTTCCTTCAAAAAATAGTTTATTCTGCACATTTCCTGGTGGGCTCTCTGCCCAGTTCCAAGGTAGCAGCGACCCATAACTTGTCTTTCTCTCCAAAACCAAGAGGGCCTTTCCAAGAGAAAAACCTTCAGTTCCCAAAGCAGCATTGATTCCTCCCCTCAACCCTACAGCAGACCTCAGGATGGAATAATGAATAATGCACCTTCTCCCACCCCTCACTGCCCGCCCACCTTCATTTGCCAGGGTTGTCATTGGCTAATGGTCAGATTCTGTCTTTTTAAACTTGGATGCCCCCAAGCATCCCAGCTTTTGGAGGCTTCCCTGGGCGACCTTGTGGGCTTCCACATTGACCAGCCATGACATTCAGCACCCTCGGACAAACCACCCACCACGGCAGTGGGTTGTGGCCAACTCCCCCCACCCCCGGCTCCACCCCTATGGGGGAAACCAGAGGAGCGCAGGGCCCTAGACTGTGGCGCCTGCAGAGCCAGGAGCTGCTGGATGCGTTCCCATGACCGCAAATCGGCATGGTCACCACAATCTGGTCCTTGGTCACTGACAGCTCTGCTCCTCAGGGTCAGATCCCACCATCTGTGTTCATCAAGCCAGCAGGCAAGGGAACAACAGTGACTCCAGTGGCCCTCCAAGGGAGCAGTGGTGACCATCACAGAGGTGACACTAGTGAGTAAGCTGGGCTATGAGCGTGGTGAGGTGTTCCCCTCCGCCTCTGTGCTCCCCACTTGGGCAGGAGGAGGGTGCATGCACAGGCTGGGGACCAGTCCTGCAGGGGGAAGGGGAGTCCTCATTTTCCTTGGAGGGAGGCAGGCAGAGGACCTCGAGCTACGTGAGAGCATCCTCCAGACGTCCTGAAACCTTCAGCAGGCACTTCCATTCATTTTGCTTTCCTCTCTCAAAAAGAGAATCCTGCCAACCCGCGCTAAACATGGCCTACCAGGGAGACACTCCTGGTGATTCACTAGGGCCATGTGGGGAACAAAATACCATTTCATTCTCTCAACAAAAACTCATCTGGCTGAGGATGGTGGCTCATGCCTGTAATCCCAGCACTTTGTGATTACACTGCCAAGGTTTGGGCAGATTACTTGAGGTCAGGAGTTCGAGATCAGCCTGACCAACATGGTGAAACCCTGTCTTTACTAAAAATACAAAAATTAGTCAGGTGTGGTGGTGGGTACCTGTAATCCCAGCTACTTGGGAGGCTGAGACAGGAGAACCACTTGACCCTGGAAAACGGAGGTCACAGTGAGATTGCACCACTGCACTCCAGCCTGAGACTGTCTTAAAAAAAATTATACATACGTTTTCCTGGGTGACTAGACGGTATCCAAAGAAACATCATTACAAAAATAGGTTTTCTCTAGTCCTGTCTCTCTCTACATGTTTTTCCCTGGCTCATTTATTTGGCTGAAATATATAAGATGCTTATATCTAGTGCTGGTCTCAGAGTAAAAAAATAAAAGATTTAATGATGTGATATCAAATGAGCCCAAAGAATGCCTGGATCCCACGTGTCAGGCACTGTTTCGTAGAAGGAAACAGGGATGTCTTAGCTGGATTTGATTTAGTGATGCAACAAAAATGCCGTCTTCAGAGACAAAACAGTATAAACTTCCCAGCTATGGAAAGGAGGCTGTTTCTGTTTGGAAGAGGCTCTCCTGGGCCTTTCATTGAGATGGGTGTCAGCTCGGAACCAGCAGCCCTGTAGAAGCGCCAGGATTTTCTTTTTTAAAAAGCAAGCCTTCAAGGTCCTGCTGAGGTTGTACGGGCGGTGGGTCTGGGTGGTTTCTCTTGCGTGGTCCCGGGAGTGGCTGGGCGGGCCGGGGTCAGGTGGAGGCCGGGCTGTCCATGGTAGACAGCAAGTGAACCACCTGCGCCCGCTCGGCTGGGCTGATGTGGTGGCTCAGGTATATCACACAGTCCGCGGCCACCTCGGGGTTCTCTTCAACCAGGCTGCAGGGGAGGTGAAAGGGGAGCTGGGGTCACTCTTGCCACTTTGTTCAGTGGCCCCTAGGGTGGCACAGTCCTTGTGTGGGGCCACATCCCAGAACCCAGAGCTCCCGATTCCCTTCCTGCCATGGTCCCGTGCAGCAGGGGGGCTGAGATCTCAAGATCAGAATGCCCTGAGGCACCACCGTCCCTACTGTCCCTCCTGCTGTGTGACGTGACCTGAGTCATGACACTGCCCTGAGTCTCAGCTTCCTCCACCCTGTGTTCAACTCCCTCTTTCACAGGGGGACGCCATGGTAATAGGGGGAGGGGACCCTCTGGAAAGGCCGACACTGGCGTGGAAGCCAGCAGCCTGAAGGCTAGCGGTTCCAAATGTGGATTCTGTGACCAACCCTGCTTCAGCTGTGACTTTGGACAAGTCCATATTCCAGCAAAGGTCGTAGGTTGGAAGTGTCTCACACCTCCTTCATAGCACCCCTGGGCTCTCTGCCCCACCCCGACCACCGTGCCAGGAGACCGGGCACTGGGGAGTGTGGTCTCTTTGTTGGGTGGCGGGGCATCCAATCCCAGAATGTGGCCTTCAGTGCACAATCCAGGCCCCGAGGCCCTGGGACTGCACAGCGTGGTGGGTTAAAGTGGCTGCCGAGGAGTCGGGCAGCTGGGGGTCAATCCTGCCGTGGGTCCTTGCCAAGGAGGCTGGGAAGCAGGGGCGGTGGCTACTCACTCTCGGATGGTCTTGAGGACAGAGTCGCGCTTCAGATAGGTGATGTTCTCGCGGATGGTGGAGCGCAGGCCGTCCCCCGCCTGCCAGTGCTGTTCCAGCCACTGTACAACCGCCTGGTTGTTGTCCCACAGGTAGGCCTGGGGAGGGGCAGAGGATGCCTCAGAGAGGGACCCTGCTGTGGGCCGGCTGCCTCATCCCCAGCACCCCCTGTGCCCACCAGCCTCGTTCTCACCCCAGGCCCACCTTGACAGCCCCCTCCGTCTCCACGAACCAGCGGCGTAGCATGGACTGGATGTGCACGTGACTCAGCTCCCCGCTGGCCCGCAGGATCTCCTGCTTGACCTGGTCCTCCAGGAGGAGGCGGCGCAGGCGCCAGTACAGGAAGGTGCGCGAGGTCTTCCACTCCAGGATGTCCTGCAGATGAGCCAGGCCTGAGTCCCCGGAAAGGGAAGGGGGAGACAGGACGCTGGCTCGGACCACACCCATGGCAGTGGCTGCCTGGGGCTGGGCCCAGGCTCTGAGACCATTTCCATTTTACAGGCAAGGAAGCTGAGGCACAGGCAGGGGAAGGATACCTGCTCAGAGCCAGGACACCACCAGGACTCCGGACTGGCCATAGGTGAAAAAATATTCCCCATACAAACCCGGCACCCACCTCTACCTCAACCAACAAAAATATAGGCTCGTGTGAGGCTTGAGCCAGCTGTGAGGGAGAACCTGCAGCAAGAGAACCAAAGAGCCCTGGACATGGTAGGAGGTGACGGTGGATGTCCTTGCAATGGTGCGGGGTGGGGTGAATGCTGGACAGGAGCAATGGTTTCTATCCTGGTCCAGCTCCACACTGACCAAGCCATCAGACTAGTGGTCCCGGAACTTTGCTGCTTATGAGAATCTCTTGGGGATTAAAAAAAACATGACTGCTGACTCCCATCCAGGTGTTTGGATTTCACTGGTTTGCAGTGCCACCTGGGCATCGGGATTATTGTAAAGCTCCCAGGTGACTCCCACATGCAGCACTGGACCCATCCCAAACCCCCTCCCCAAGCCCCAAAACCCCAAGCCTGGTTTTTGGAAACCAAGGTGGGCTCTTTGCACCCCACACGGCAGCCGTGGCTCTCACAGACGTGACGCCCTTCTCCAGCATCCGGCCGGGCGTGTCGTGGAGGTCGGCAAACTGCACCGCCACCTGGTGGTAGATGGGGAGCAGCAGGTCCTCGCGGGCCTTCAGCCGGCCCTCCAGGTCCTTGCGGTCCTTGTCGGAGAGATTGGGTTCCCCTGCAGGTGAGCAGAAAGGCCAGTCAAGCCATGGAAGGGGTCCACATATGGTGGGGTGGAGATTTTTTTTTTAAGGGTGCACAAATCAGGGTTTGTGCCTGATTTGTGCCCCTTAAACCTCTACCTCCTGGTTTCAAATGATTCTCCTGCCTCAGCCTCCCAAGTAGCTGAGATTACACTCTCAGCTACTTGGACAGGACAGGCCTTGCCCCATCAGAGGTCTGAGCTTTAACTCTGATATTACCCTTGCTGCTACACAGGCTACCCTCAGCCCACTAGGTCCCCCAGAGTCCACTGGCCTCCCCCCCACCACAGGCCCATCTTGACGGCCCCCTTTATCTGAAGTCAAATAGCTAGTGCAGTCTTAGAATTGCACTCACAATTGCAAGACAGCATTCAACATGCAACTCTACATTTTCCCTTTCCATCAGACCCATTGTGCTTATCGGTTACTAGTTTTAGTACATACTGTAAAATATGACAAGGGAATATTATAAGCAACTCTATGCCACATTTACAAGATGAAATAGACAAATTCCTTGAAACACACAAACCACCAAAGCTCACCTAGGAGGAAACAGACACACAAATAGTCCTATATATAGCAAAGAAGTTGAATTTATAGGTAAAAACCTCTATCAATAACTTAAAGAAATAATGCCAATTCTGTACAAACTCAGAAAATAGGAGAGAACACTTCAACTCATTCTATGAGATCAGCATTACCCTGATACCAACCAAAGAAATTATATGCACATACTGTAATAAATCTTGTGAATAGCACAGTTATAAAGACACTGACACTTAAAATGGATATTTAAAGAGAATTACATCTTGTGGCCAGATGCAGTGGCTCACGCCTGTAATCTCAGCACTTTGGGAGGCTGAGGCAGGCAGATCACTTGAGGCCAGGAGTTCAAGAGCAGCCTGGCCAACATGGTGAAACCTCGTCTCTACTAAAAACACAAAAATTAGCTGGGTGTGGTGGCGCACACCTGTAATTCCAGCTACGTGAGAGGCTGAGGCATGAGAATTGCTTGAATCGTGAGGCAGAAGGTGCAGTCAGCTGAGATTGCACCATTGCACTCCAGCCTGGGTGACAGAGCAAGACTCTTTCTCAAAAATAAACAAATAAATAAATAAATAAAGATAATTACATCTAAAGATGACAAGTGAAACAAAGCTACCATTCAAACAAAATTAGTAAAATAGCTTGTCTAATTGGAAATTTTAAAGGAACATTTTCCCTTTAAAAATTCTGATATTCCTCATCAACCCCAAATACTTTAATTGTTATCTTTTGTGTATGCTGAGAAATAAATTCATGATGGCATTTTATATATAGATAGATATATATATATACACACACACACATATATATATATACACACACACACACATATACATACACACATATATATTAATACATACACACATATATTTTAATGCTAAAAAGGTGGATTGATTTAGGAATGTGAACGTCCTCCAGTCACAGTGGTTCACGCCTGTAATCCCAGCACTTTGGGAGGCCAAGGCAGACGGATCGCTTGAGCCCAGGAGTTTGAGACCAGCCTGGGCAACATGGCAAAACCCCGTATCTACAAAATACAAAAATTAGCTGGGCATGGCAGTACGCACCTGTAGTCCCAGCTACCTGGGCTGAGATGGGAGGATGGCTTGAGCCCAGAATGTGGAGGTTATGGTGAGCTGAGACTGCACTGTGCACTCCAGCCTGGGCGATAGAGCCAGACCTTGTCTCAAAACAAAACAACAAAGACAAATGTGAATATCTTTAAAAATCTCTGAGTTATTATAGATGTGTTTTGGTAGCTCTTCATTTTATTTTTAACATCCTAGAAACCCCCAGCAATGGAGCCGGCTGGGCCTCTCTTGACCTCTGAGAGGTGAAGCCTTTGGGACCCCCTTACCTAGCTGTTCCACGAGCTTCTTGTAAGCTGGATCGATCCTTCTCATCGACTTTATCAGATCTTTCTTTCGGAATTTAATCTCCACTGTCCCCTCTGGCTCCAGAACACCACCCCTTAAAAGAGAAAAGGCAAGGATGGGGGTGTATGAGACATTGCCCAGCAAGCAACAGCTCTTTCACCCCTACACATGCTGTGTTGCCCTTGGGTGAGTCACTTTCCCTCTCTGGGCTTCTGTATCTTTCCCCACAGATGGAAAGACTAAGCCAACTGTTTAAAATAACGCTTTCCGAACTTTGGAGGGCCCTTTCAGGTCCAAGTGTGTATGGCTTTTTCCATGACAGCATGACCCCCCTGCTCTCCAGCCACCGTCCTCTCTAACTTTGCTACTTTCTGCTCTCCTAGAGGCGGCACACTGTTTCTGATTGCTTTAAATCTCACAGCAGCACCTTAAGAACCCAGCATGGTCTTGTGTGAGCTGTCCCCCCATTTCCAACATTTTCTTGCTTTTTTTTTTTTTTTTTTTTTTGAGACAGGATCTCACTCTGTCACCCAGTTTGGAGTACAGTGGCACTATCTTGGTTCACTGCAATCCCTGCCTCCTGGGTTCAAGTGATTCTCCTGCCTCAGCCTCCCGAATAGCTGGGATTACAGGCACGTACCACCATGACCAGCTGATTTGAGTATTTTTAGTAGAGATAGGGTTTCATCATGTTGGCCATGCTGGTCTTGGACTCCTGGCCTCAAGCGATCTGCATGCCTCAGCCTCCCAAAGTGCTGGGATTACAGGCATGAGCCACCATGCCTGGCCTCATTTCCAACATTTTCATTTACCCCTCATTCTCCCCTTGACCCCTTTTGCTTTTGACAGCTTAGAAGCCCTGAAGAATACTACCAGTAGCTCTGAGCTTCCTGATGGCCAGGATGAAAAGTTAGCAATGATTCCATTCAAGTGCTGCTCAGTATCCTGAGTCTTCCTGGAGGATGGACTTCAGCAATTCCTGACAAGGGTCTAAGTGCCCTGAATGCAGGACCGGCTTGGCCCATTTGCCACCATAACAGAATGGCTAGCATATAGTGAGGTAATCAATAGATATTCATTAGATGAAGGAATGAGGGAGTGAACACAGGAATGCCGTGCCTATATTTTGAGCAGAATGACTCTTTACATCCTGTGTAGCATGTAGTTTTCAAAGTCGTCAGTCACTGTGCTGTGAACATTACTGTCATCATCCTTTCTATAAGAATCCCTGGGATAAATTCCTCCTAAAGAAAGTCCCAAGGAGGTTTCCTCTCCCATGAAGCACTAGTATCCTCTAATGTTAAGTATTCATTGAGTCATTCGTTTAGCCAGTATTTCCTGACCACCTACCAGGAGTCAGGCACTGTGCTATACCCTGGGTTATAAAACTGAATAAAACATTTCCTATAGGAACTCATAGCTTTGGGAGAAGCTCAGGATCTGATGAGAGATAAATGACCCATCATATTTCCCTTTTCACCCTGGCTAACAGGAAGCTCAAGTGCTTTCGGTCTTTCCTTTTTATTTTTTGATTGCAAACTTCCTAGGGAAGGAAGAGTATAAACCATGAAAGAAGAGACAACATTCCTCCACCACCTACATGTTCCAGCAACAACCCCTCCATGATCCCCGGCCAGTGGCTCAAAGGTTATGGGCTCTCAAGACTGGGAGAAAAAGAAAAGGCTAAGCCAGGCTAAGGGCAACACACCCACCTGCTCTCTTTGTCTGCATACATTTCTATGCACAGCGGGTTGATAGTGGCATCTATGACCACCCAGGAGCCTCCCCGGAGCTCCGCATAGGGCGGGATATAGATCAGGATGGGCTGTTTATATTGTCTGAGGCTGTCCACGATGTAGGCTCCGAACTTCAGCACCTGGTCGTACATGTCTGAAAAGCAAAGCGGCCTCCCAGTTTGACAACTTCAGGGCCCTCACTCATCCACATGCAAAACCCACTGCCCTGGTTGTCCAGGGTGTCCTGAGAGAGTGAGCTCCACTGGGAGGCCTGGAGAGCACCGGGCTCGGGGCTGGAGCACTGATCGCTCTCTAAGTGGCCGTGTGACGTCCGACAGGCCATTCACCCAGTGTGGGCCTCAGGGCCCTCATCTGTGAAGGCACAGGGAGAAACCCAATCTCTAGGATTCTTTCCAATTGGAACCGAGATGCCTTCACCCGGGACTGTCCCCACCCTGCCCTACCATTTCCGGCAAAGAAAATCCTCCCTAACAGCAATACTGATCCTTCCCCAGTGTGCACGGGCAACATGGCCCTTATCTTCCAAGTCACGTCTCTCTAGGCCCCCAGGTGCCCTACACGAAAACAAGAATGCAATAATAACATCACTGACAATCACACTGCACACCAGCAATGAGCTCATCAGACCCTTACCTCAGCCCTCTGAGGTTGGTCCTGTTCTTAACCTCCATTTACAAAGGAGGAAAACTGAGGCTCAGTGAGGTCAGTGAGGTCACCCAGCTAACAAGGACCCACAGCAGGTCTGCCTGCCTTCCCTCCAACTCTGCCTCAACGACCCAGTCATCCAGCAGCCACTGTCTCCCAAAACATGGTTGTTGGCTTAAAAAACCCTCACACAACAGAAAGGTCACATGAGGCTCAGAGCAGCTTTCTGCAGAGGGAAGGGCGGACAAACATCCTCCTCACCTTGCCAAATGCGGGGGTGACTGCCCAGGTCATCCTGCAGCTCCTGGGGCCGCCCCTCCCTGCCCTGCACCTCAGGGCGTGACCTCTAGAAAGTCATACTTTGCCTCCAACCCTCAGTTCCTCATTGTTTTGTTTTGGTTTTTGAGACAGGACTCTCACTCTGTTGCCCAGGCTGGAGTGCAGCCTCAACCTCCGGGGCTCAAGCAATCCTCCCACCTCAGCCTCCCAAAGAGCTAGGATAACAGGCACATGCCATCACACCCAGCTAATTTTTTAAACATTTATTTTATTTTTTGTCAAGACAGGGTCTTGCTATACTGCCCAGGGTGATCTGAAACTCCTGGCCTCAAATGATCCTTCTGCCTTGGCCTCCCAAAGTGCCAAGATTGTAGGTACATGCCATTGTGCCCAGCAGTTCCCAGCTTTAAAACTGGGTGGTGGGGCACGTGAACAGTCTTCTGTCCTCGGGGTGATTGGGACACACAGCTAAGATGATGACGGGCACAGACTAGGACAGCAGTGTCACCACCCGGAGGGTGCTGTCCTGGGTGCTGACCCCAAGGCTTTGGGGTAACCACAGATAGAGAGGGGCTTACCTTTCATGCCACCAGAGAACCCCCTCCAATTGGCAAAGATCATCAGTGGCAACTTCTCCCGGTTGAAGTCCTTGATGGCCTGGGCAGTTTTGTAGGCTGAGTCTGGGAACCACACCTGTCCTGCCTGCTGAATTATCTGGAACACAGAGCTGCTGGGATCAGGTGCCCCTGCACAAGAGCAGCCTGGGACACAGGGATGGCTGCCAGAGTCTTGCCCTGGATGGTGGGAGATCTGATCTGCGCTGGCCCCAGCACCAGAGCCAGAGCCAGAAGGACAGAAGCCCCATCTCCTTGGCTTGGGACCAGGCTCGACCCTCCCATTGCAGCCCAGCAAGATTCCTGTCACCCTAATTTGCAGGCTCTGAGGGGTACGGAGCTCGTCAAGGCCATACTGAGTTGGGGGAAAGCTGGCCCTGGGACCCAGCCCTCTGACTCTTGAGCCCTTCTTAGTCTGTACCCTGGCCCAGCGCAGAAACAGCAACAGGGGCAGGGCAGGAGGTGGGAGGGGCTTCTAGGGACTTTTATCTTCTGCTGAGGAAGAAGCAAGATGGCGCAGCCCTTTATGCAACCCACAGAGAAATAGGCACTGGGTCCCCTGGGGCCAGGGACTGCACTGGGTCCCCTGCTTCTCCATCTGAGGTGGCAGGGCAGGTATGGGACCCCCACGCCCAGGACCCACTCTCAACTGTATAGCTGGCTGAACCAGCAGCCGCAGCTCCCAGCCTGCTCACCTTGGCCTCAGAATCCAGGTTGGCAGGGTCTGCAGGGATCGCCACCTCCACGGTCCTCGTCTCCACGGCGATCACTCCCACCGGAATCCCCCCAAGCCTGGAAGATGAGTGCCGATGAGCTAGGCCCTGGGCAGCACCCCAGGTACATTTAGGGACCTCTGGGTGTGGGGAGAAGGGCATGTGGAGGAGAATGCCTTTTTAATCTGGCAGATTATTTTTTTGGAAGGCAAAGAAAAAGCCCCAAAATGGTAAGAGCCTCGAAAGGTAGCAGACCTGTTGGTGCCCTTTTTGGGACAAGAACCATCAGAGGAGGGCCAGGATGGTGCAGGGCCTGGAGCAGCATGAGCCACTAGAACTTTCTGGGATGAGGGTCACATGCTGTCTCTGTACTGCTTAGTACAGGGTCTGTGGGCTCCACGTGGAACATGGCAAGTATGAGGAATAGAACAGGCCATCCTCTTTGACTCTGACTTAGTTAAATTTAAACTAAAGAAGCCAGGCTTGGTGGCTCATGCCTGTAATCTCAGAGCTTTGGGAGTGTGAGGAGGCAGAATTGCTTGAGTCCAGGAGTTTGAGACCAGCGTGGACAGCATAGTGAGACCCTGTATCTGCAAAAAATAAAAAATTGCTCGGGTGTGTTGCTGCACGTCTGTGGTCCCAGCTACTTGGGAGGCTGAGGTGGGAGGACCATTTGAGCCCAGGAGGTCAAGGCTGCAGTGAGCAGTGATCACACCTCTGCACTCCAGCCTGGATGAAAAAGCAAGACCCTGACTCAAAAAATAATACTAATTAAACTAAAGCATCACATGTGGCCAGTGGCTACTACACTGGACAGCATCATTCTAGACATCAAGTTGCACTTGGAAAGGGCTGAGGGATGTTGAACTGGACAGAGACTCAGCTCAGGGGATGCCACGACATCAGTTACTTGCTACTGAACTGTGCACGGCTAGAAGGTTCTCATTTATCCTCCGAGGCAGGTGTGGGGGAGAGCAGTCCTCAAATCAAAGGATTTTCCCATGGAAGGAGGAATATATTTATTTTTATATTTTTGCTTTTAAAAATAGAACTTATTTTACTTAATTTATTATTTCTTATTTTTCAGTCGGAGTCTCACTCTGTCACTCAGGCTGGAGTGCAATGGCATGATCTTGGCTCACTGCAAACTCAGCCTCCCAGGTTCAAGCCATTCTCCTGCTTCAGCCTCCCGAGTAGCTGGAATCACATGCGCACAGCACCACACCCGGCTAATTTTTGTATTTTTAGTAGAGACGGGGTTTCACTAGGTTGGTCAGGCTTGTCTTGAACTCCTGACCTCAAATGATCCACTTGCCTTGACCTCCCAAAGTGCTGGGATCACAGATGTGAGCCACCGCACCTGGCCAGAATTCATTTTATTAATAAGTAACATACATTTATGCTAGAAAGGTAGGAAAACAAATGTTCAAAAAAAGAAAAAAGAAAAAGACTTGAATCACCCCACTTTACCATACCATTCACATTTTCATCTATTTCCTTCTAGTCTTTCATTTCTATGCAGTTAGAAGTTCAATGTATTTGGGATACTTTTGGATACTGATGTCTTTTTCACTTGGTATCATAGAATGAGCAATTTTTCCCCTTAACACTGAATATCATGAGGAGCTCAAACAATCCTCTCGCCTTGGCTTCCTGAGTAGCTGGCACTAAAGGCATGTGCCACCACACCCATCTAATTTTAAAATATTATTTGTAGAGACGGGATCTTGCTATGTTGCCCAGGCTGGTCTCAAACCCTTGAGCTCAAGTGATTCTCCTGCCTTGGCCTCCTGAAGTGCTGGGATTATAGGTGCGTGAGCCACTGTGCCTAGCTGTACTTTATTTTATTTTTATTTTTTTGAGAGAGTCTCCCTCTGTCACCCAGGCTGGAGTGCAGTGGTGTGATCTAGGCATGCTGCAACCTCTGCCTGCTGGGTTCAAGCAATTCTCATGCCTCAGCCTCCCCAGTAGCCAGGATTACAAGCACCTGCCACCACACCCAGCTAATTTTTGTATCTTTAGTAGAGATGAGGTTTTGCCATATTGGCCAGACTGGTCTCAAACTCCTGACCTTAGGTGATTCGCCTGCCTTGGCCTCCCAAAGTGCTGGGATTACAGGCATGAGCCACCACGCCCGGCCCTGGCTGTACTGTAGTATTTATTGCCCAAGATGTAAATGATAGCAGCCATTCCCACTTACGGAGTATGTGGGACATTTTAAGTGTTTCATATTTGTTATTGCATCTTATCGTCACACTATGCCTTTGGGGTAGAATTATTATCTCTATCTTACAGATGTGGAGGACCAGAGAGTGTGAGTGACGGAGATGGGGCTTGGCCTCAGGTCCACCGCAGAGCCTGGACTGACAGCCGCAACATCGTACCAGGAATCTGAGTTGGCAAATGAGGAGGATGCAGCTCTGGGCTTATTAGAAGGAGGAACTTTCAGGCGCGTGGAGCTGTCCAAAGAGGTGAAGGCTACAAGGCTGAAAAGTGAGCTGCCCAGCTCAGAAAGCATGCAAGCATTTCAGCCTCCCACCAACACGGGTATACAACAGGCTCCTGTCCATGGCTCTCCTAAGATGGAATTCAGAGTGTCTGTGAAGTTTTCTAGGGAGAGCACCCAAGGCCGCCTTCTGATGCCTAAAGGGGTCATTAGCCCCCATGGCCTGGGGACTGACTACAGGCAGGGGTCTCAGGCCTCAGCAGGAGGTTGGCTGAGATACCTTCTAAGGCCACATACAGACACTCCAGAAACCATTCCAAAAATGTTTTTTCTTTTAGAAAATCCTGAGGCCAATATGAAAATTGCCCCTGGAGGTCCCTGGCCTCACACCTGGGGTCCCCAATGCCTGGGGAGCCCCACAAGAGTCACTTGCTCCCGTCTTCATGGTTACCTTGCTCGTCCCGTCACCACAGTCTGTGCCCAGGGTGCCATGATTTCCTTGAAACTGCCATGGTCAAAGAATCCACTCTGCCACGTTCCCTTCAGAGCTGTGGGCAGAAGGGCAGAAGCCCAGGCTGGGGGGCTGGGTGGCGGAGGGCCCCCAGGATGCTCCTGGCTGGGCAAAATCTCCCTAAGGACAGCCTGGCTTTAACCTCATAGCCCAGATACCCCTTTCTACCTAAAACCACAGAGACCCCAATCCCTTCCTCCCTTCCCCCCTTCCTCCCTTCCCCCCTTCCTCCCTTCCCCCCTTCCTCCCTTCCCAAAACACCGCAAAAGATAAACAGGGCTGCAATAAATATACCAAGTCAAGAATTCGGTCTGTACGGAATCCCTGACTACCATCAACAGCCAGGCAACACCAGGCACACTGAGATTCCAATCACAGTCTCTGCCTTCTCTTCCCAAGATGCAATGAGAGTGGACAGACACCTCCAGAAGGCGGGATTTCAGGAAGGGACCACCTGCCACGAAAAACTCATCCCTGACCTGCAGGCTGCTGGCTGCTGGCTATAGCTAAATAACCACTTAATTGGGAAAAAATTTCAATTTCCCAGAAAGGGACAGAGAGAGAATTATGATGATGTCGACTACAACCATTGCTGGGGAGGAAATGATGACTTCAATCCATGCGACAGTGTAAATGGCTGCAGCTCTGACCATGAGGGCACAGCCAGAGAGTGGGCGGTGCCTCAGGCATGGGAGGCCCGGCACCCAAGCACGCAACAGCCCAGCTTCAACGCCTGCCGAGGACTGGCTTGACAGTGAGAAGCTGAATGTTTTTTGATTGAGATAAGCAGCCCCCTCGGTGTTCACAGGCCAGAAAGCCCAAGAGAAATGAAATGCAGGAGAAGGAAGCCACAGGGCTCCCTGCACTGTCTGGGGTCTTGCACGCTCCCGAGGGCCACCTCTCCTGCATCGCACAGCCGAGGAGCAGCCAAGGTCTAAAGGTAGCAGCATGTGAAACTCTAGACTTGGGATACGGTGACGGGAGCAGCTTGGCTTTCCTGTTCTTTTCCAGTTGCTCAGAATGAAATAATACACCTCCAAGAGAGAAACCCATCCCTTTCAGAGAAAGGAAGAGAATGTGTGTGTGCAAAAACATATGTGTGCATGTGCATTCATATGTTCACGTGTGTGTGCAGATAAAGAAGAGGCCAAATTAGCCAGGCATGGTGGCTCATGCCTGTAATCCAGCATTTTGGGAGGCTGAGGCAGGCAGATCACTTGAGGTCAGGAGTTCAAGATCAGCCTGACCAGCATGGTGAAACTCCATCTCTACTAAAAATATAATAATTAGCTGGATGTGGTAGCAGGCACCTGTAATCCCAGCTACTTGGTAGACTGAGGCAGGAGAATCACTTGAATCCAGGACGCAGAGGTTGCAGTGAGCCAAGATTACATCACTGCACTCCAGCCTGGGTGACAGAGTGAGACTGTCTCAAAACAAAGAGACCAAATTGCCTATCCTGTGTAAACTCACACAGTTTCTTTGTAAGAGAGAAAGAAGAGATGCAGTCTTCTCTTTGAAACTGTGATGTTTCAGCACTGAATTTTCTACAGATGAGACAGTGGGGCAATGACCATGGAGCATGGAGCATCAGGGGAGGAAGACCATGACCACTATTGTGCCCCACCTCCATCTATTAGCTCCAGAAACTTGAGGCTGTTTCCACCCCTTCTTGGTCAACAGCTCAGGAAAAGCCTAAAGTCTCTGTTTCTCTACTCTCCCTGCATTTGATCTCAGGTGGACCTTTCTGGGATATGAGAACAAGTATCAAGCATTCTACCTAAGTGCTCCTTTGCACCAAGCCCTAGAAAGAAACCCAAGACCAGGTCCTAGGCAAAATACTTTAGAACTTACTTGGGTGAGGCCTTCCTGCAAGCATCCACCGGGGGTCATAGGGAGTTCTGGATGGAAGGAATTCAATTTCTCTGTCAATGGGGTCAGTGGGTGTGATGATAGGGACAGGGCTGTGATTATCCTAAAAAAGAAAGCCAAGTCTCTGACTCAGTCTGTGGTGCTTGTCAATAATACCTCTGATCAGCACTTTGCTCCTCTTGACTATGATTATGCCTGGTTATGCAGCAATATCCCTTCCCTAGGGCTCCTGAAGCCACAGCTCTGATTGGAAAAATGCCAGATGAGGACTCCCCATCCCACAGATTCTTCTGAAATCCAAACTCCTGTACTTCTTGGTTCAGATGGTGTCACTCAGGCTGGGAAGTTAAAGAAGGCAGGAAAGTCTCTGTTTCTCTACTATTATGCTACATATGGCCAGATAGGGGGAAAAACATCTTAAAAGAAAGAGAAAGAAAAAAAGAGACTGCCTGCAGAGTGGTAACAGATGGCATGCAGATGGGGAAAAGGGTTACTTGGGAATACAAACTGACATTTGTGACTTGGGGTTCTTGGCAGATCCGGAATGACCTGAACTCTGGAAACCCAACCGCTCAGAAATGATTATAATGAAGGATGACAATCTCACTTATTTGTAAGGAATGTTACAGTTAACCAAGAACTGTGCCCACTATTATCCCCTTCTTACTTTGGTGAGGACCTACCAAATGCTCTGCTCTGAATATCACTTCATTTAATCATCATGATAACATCATGAGTTGAGTTAGGTGCTATTATTTTTCGCATTTCACAGATGAGGAAACAGGCTCAGAAAAATTTAAGGGCTCTCCCAGTGTCTTATAGCTACTGAGGAGAAAGCCAGGAATCAAATCCAGCTGACTATAAAGCTTAAAGACTCAGTATTGTCCAATGCTGCCTCTTGTCAAGAGGCAATACTACCTCTTTCTAAAGGATCAACAGATAGCATCCTTACAATGGCATTTGTGTCACCAAAAGAACAAAGGACAGCTAGTACAGGGTTGGGCGTCAGAGAGAGAAGGAAGAAAGGAGTAAGAAAAATCAACCCCAGCCACATGTGCAGGGCTTCCTGCTTGCAGCCTCCCACACCACCCAGGAGGTGACAGGGACACAGCCAATGAGCTTGATAATACAGTCTTCCAGGCTGTAAGCTGCAGGGGCAGTACTGCACCTTTGGGATATAGGACAGCCACTCCAGGATGGTATAAACCCCCTCAAAGTCATCTGGCACGGTGATGTGGGAGACGCCATTGTAATGCATGATCTGAACGCCACCCAGCTGGTTGTTGGATGTGTAGACCTCTTTTCCCAGGACCTGCTTTGACACAACACAGTTAGCAATGTCCTCCATGGCGCAGAGCCCAACCACCTTTGGAAATCATCTCAGGGCTCCTCAATCCTGACTACACATTAGAACCATCCAAGAGATTTCAAAAATCCTGATGCTTAGGCTACATCCAGACCAATTATATCAGAATCTTTGAGGCTGGGACCCAGGCATTAGTTTTTGTGTTTTGTTAGTTTTTTAGTTTCTAGGTGATTCCAACATGCAGCCCAATTTGAGAACTGGTGATGCAGCTGACTTCTGCCCTGACCATCTCAAAAGCAAAACCCTAGACAGTGTTTCTGATTAGGCAGGTCTGCAGCAGGGCTTGAGGATTTGCATTTCCAACAACTTCCCAGGTGATGCTGATGCTGCTGGTCCGAGAACCAGACTTTGAGACTTGGCTGGGATTTGAGTAGACATTAAGTATAGAGACTTTACAGCAACATAGAAAATGTTTTAATACAGTGAAAAAGTAGAATCCAAAACTGTGTATTCATTATAAATTAACCACATAAAGACAAATGAGAGGGAACTATACCAGAATGATAGAGACATCAAAATCACTTTTAGGGGGTCCTTTTCTAATTTTCTGCAATATATAATGGTGGTTTAATAATTTGTTTAAAAATGTCAGTAATACAGGGAGTTAGATCCACCAGGATAGCCTAAAACTATTTTTTTTTTCTCATAGGAGCCCAGATAACTGAAATTAAAAAAGAACTGTTGTATCAGTAGGAATGAAACTGGTTTCATATTGAGAAAAATCCCCCACCAGAGACCACTGGGATCCTGGTCCCCAAGGATCTACCCCACACAGGCCCCTTTTTGGTCACCTTGTTGAGAGCACTTGCTCCTGTGAGGATGATGTGGGAGTTCTCCACCTGGATCACTCGCTGGCCCAGCCTCACCAAGTAGGCCCCGATCCCAAGGGCTCGGCAGGTCACCTGCGGAGAGCGGACCCCTCTAAATTCTGAGAAGTGGGGAGGTACCCACCCCTCACAGCAGGGAAGAGTCCAGGAACCTGCTGGGCCCAAATGGAAGTTATGCTTTGGCCAATGGCAACCTGATTTGTAGCCAAACCGCAGCAGAGGCAAAAGCCCATTCTTTAGGCCACTTTATTGAACTTGGATTCCTATCTGGAAATAACATGGTTAACAAAGACTTCCGTAAAGACAAACAGCAGACACTGAACGTTTCAGATCTTAAGAGGCTTGTGTGCAGCTCTTCTGAGCTTGGGCATTTATGGGCCATTGCAGCCTCTTAACAACCAAAAGGACACCTAGGAATGCATGTAAAAACTGGTGAAATCCAAATAAGGTCTGTACTGGGTTAACAATATTGTGCCAATGTCAGTTTCCTGGTTTTGATAATGTATTATGGTTATGTAAGTACCATGGGGGAAGCTGGGTGAAGGGTACTTTGGAAATTCTCTGTATTATCTTATAACTTATGGTGGGTCTTAAACGATTTCAAAATAAAAAGACTATGCATATAATCTAGAAAACAAGCCCAAGGAAGATGCTTATGACCAACATTTTCCACCTTGAAAACTGAAGATTCAACATTGTATGTAAAAATAAGGCCTTAAAAGGCAGTTTATCATTAAAGAGTACTATTATTGCTGCTGCCGCTGCTGTTAGAGTAGGTAGGTAGGCAAACATGAGCAGGGCAGGAGAGCAATGGCAGGCAACAATCACGTGACAGGCAGTTGTAAAATGTCTCTCTAAAACAACTGGTCACAGCTGGCAGCAGGGAAAAGGCAGCATCCCGATAGATAGAAAACACCTGAAGCTGGTGATCAGCAGCTTCCCAGTAAGATCTCAGAAGTTGGGCGAGTGGTCTTGAATGCACACTAAGAGGCAAAATGGCAGAGTTTATCTGGTATGTGACCTTCAAGAAACACTCGACTGGTAAGGGAAGAATGCCTCAAATGGGCATGCACACAACTTCAGTAAACACACAGTGCATGTGGCCCCTCCTAAGTGCTGGCAGGCCATGTGTATGCGGACAGCTGACCCTAAGGGAAGAATCAGGGGTGAAGAAACATAAACCCTGGAATGAGGCCAATGCATAAAACCCCAAGTCAAGGGTTGGATGAGGCAGTTGGATCTCTAAAGTTGTCTTGCTTGGCCCTCTTCCAAAGGTACTTTACTTCCTTTCGTTCTTGCTCTAAAACTTTTTAATAAACTTTCACTTCTACTGAAAAACTTGCCTCAACATCTCACTGTGCCTTATGAATGAACTCTTTCCTTCGCGGATGGATTCCTTCCTTTGAGGAGGCAAGAATCAAGCTGCTGTAGACCCATACAGATTTGCCACCATGAACACCACCACCACCACCACTACTACTATTACTAGAACTACTACCAGAAGTACTACTAGTACTAGTACTACTACTCAAAACGGAAAACATTTTTGGAAAGGCCACGGGGATGGGATGGGGACTACTCATTACATGCCACTTAAAGTCAGCTAAAAGTTCTTCTAAACATTCAACACCTTTAAAATAAGACGAGATTGGACTCTGATTCAAACCACTAGAAAAGGGCATTTTAAGATAAACTGTTAAACCAAGCTGGGTTCCAGTGATACTGCTGATTCTGTCAGGTGTAATATTAGTATTTCAGTTTTGTTTTTAAAAAGAGAGGGAAGAGGGTGAGAGTCCTTATCTGTTAAAGATCTAACCTTAAGTATTTATGTGTGAAAAGACATGATGGGGGCTGGCTTTAAAATACTCTAAAATGGGGTGCAGGGGATGGGGTAAGGTTGAGGAAATAGCAGTGAGGTGGCATGTGATAAGTGTAGGAGGTGTGTGGTGGGCACATGGGGCTTATTATTGATTCTCTCTAATTTTGTGATTATTTTAAAGTTTCTATAATGGAAAGTTGAAAAGTAAGAGAAAACAGAAGAGGACTCACCAAGCTAATGGTGACGATCTCTTCGTAAGCCCGGGAGGACTCCCCAGCAATCGTGCCTGAGCCCCTCAGATTCTCCACACCCAAGCCATCATCCTTCCCGATGATATCCGTGATCATATATCTGCAAAAAGCAAACACAGGTTAAAGACTGAGCTCTAGCCGGGCACAGTGACTTACGCCTGTAATCCCAGCACTTTGGGAGGCTGAGGCGGGCGGATCACGAGGTCAAGAGATTGAGACCATCCTGGCCAACATAGTGAAACCCCGTCTCTACTAAAATATAAAAATTAGCTGAGTGTGGTGGCGCGCATCTGTAGTCCCAGCTACTTGGGAGGCTGAGGCAGGGTAATTGCTTGAACCCAGGAGGCAGAGGTTGCAGTGAGCGGAGATCGCGCCACTGCACTCCAGCCTGGTGCCTGGTGACAGTGAGACTCTGTCTCAGAAAAAAAAACTTTTTTAAAATTTAATTTAATTTAATTTTAAAAAGACAGCTCTAGTCCTGAAAAATCCAAGGTGGATGCATTTCCCAAGGAGAGATGCGGCAGCAACATGAGAGACTGGAAGCAGACAAAGCATCCAGAGGCAAAATGACACTGGCATCTAGGACCCTCATCATGGGTGCTAAGATTTCTAAAAAGGCAAATACAGCATCAACAATCGTCACCCTGCCCTGTAACCCCAGCACTTTGGGAGGCTGAGGCAGGCAGATTGCTTGAGATCAGGTTGAAACCAGACTGGCCAATATGGCGAAATCTCGTCCCTACTAAAAATACAAAAGTTAGCTGGGCGTTGTGGTGCACACCTGTAATCCCAGCTACTTGGGAGGCTGAGGCAGGAGAATCACTTGAACCTGGAAAGCGGAGGTTGCAGTGAGCCGAGATCACGCCACTGCACTCCAGCCTGGGTGACAAAGTGAGATTCTGTCTCCAATAAATACATATATACATACAATCATCACCCTGCTCCCAACTGTGAAAGGAAAATAAAAACTGGGACCCCGATTCACAAGCCAAAAAGGACAATTTAAGCTGAAGCTGAGTCGTGCAAGCTTTCCTTTGTAAGCAGACAGCTACAGATAAAAGGTAAAATATCTCCCCTCAGGTAGTTCCTCTATGTCCACTTTATCTTATAGAAAGTGCTGAAGAATACATAACTGACTTCCTCTGCCTGCCTTTCTCTTGCAACATGTGATTACCGTAACTTCCTTCTTTCCCCTCCATCCTGCTTTTCTCCTTTAAATACTGAGGCCTCCAAATCATCTTTGGAGAAAGGCACAGGCCACAGACATTTCTATGATTCCGTGTTCTTTGCTTCTGGGCGTGTCCTTAACCTTGGCAAAATAAACTTCTCAACTGACTGAGACGTGTCTCGGATACTTTTTGTTTTACACAACCAAAGATGTCTGCCTGTTCAGAGGCTGTCTCAGTGAAATGTCACCCCTGGCCCATATTCCTCCAATGGTCTACAGAGAGATGAGGGTACACAGAGAAAGCCCATTGACAATCAACCAATCAAGATTCCAGGGCCACATAATAAGCATGAGAAACGCTATCCAGCCAGCCTCTGTTAGAGATTCACAATGCACTTTAGTTTGTGTGATGGTTAATAGTGTCAACTTAAGGATGCAAAGTACTGTTTCTGGGTGTGTCTTTGAGGGTGTTGCCAGAGGAGATTAACATTTGAGTCAGTGGACTGGGAGAAGACCCACTCTCAATGTGGGTAAGTACCATCCGATGGGCTGCCAGTGCGGCTAGAAAAAGCAGGCAAAAAAAGGTGGAATAAGCTGGCTTGCTGAGTCTTCTTGCTTTCGTCTTTCTCCCATGCTGGATACTTTCTCGAATATCAGACTCCCGGTTCTTCAGCCTTTGGACTCTTGAACTTATGCCAGTGGTTTGCCAGGGGCTCTCGGGCCTTTAGCCACAACTGAAGGCTGCACTGTTAGCTTCCCTACTTTTGAGGCTTTTAGACTCAGAATGAGCCACTACTGGCTTCCTTGCTCCTCAGCTTGCAGACAGACGGCCTGTCACAGGACTTCACCTTATGATCATGTGAGTTAGTTCTCCTAAACAAAGTCCCTTCCGTATATACACATATCTTACTAGTTCTGTTCCTCTGGAGAACCCTTACTAACACAGCATGGTGCAGGTACTGAGACGGCCTGCAATAAAGATGCTTATGAGATCCCATTTCACCCAGTGTTTCCCAAACTCATCTGACTATGGAATTTTTCTCATACTTACCACTCATATTGCAAACAACCCAGTCTGGGAAATTCGGATTCAGTTAATCCCACTAAGAAAAACATACCTTGTCCTGGAAAAGACAGCCAGGAGCCTCTGAACGTTCCCAAAGAGCAGACCTCTGCCCCACCCATACCTTCCCAGTTTGCCAAGTCACCGCTGCATCAGTCTGCCCACAAAATGTGAGCCTGCAGCTTCTAGGACAACATGAGAATCCAAGCTCATCACCCCGCAGGATGTGCTACTTTTATGAAAGGAGTCACTCATTGTAGAATGACAAGGATGGCTTCACCTTGGAGAATATACCAAATGTTTAAGGCCTCAGTGCCCCCGGTATGTACTGGTTCCTATCATACAAACACCACCACCCACTGGAAAATACTGCCACAAGCCCCGAGGAAAGAAGACAGCTGAAATTAACCGTGAGCAAAATTAAGGAGCTACCTGACAAGTTATTTACCTGGATTCTCCTCCTTCCTCGATGTGTTTACAGTGGACGGAGTTCAGGGAGCTGATTCTGGTGTAGTCTTGGGGAGTCAGGTACAGGTATTTAAATCCCTTAAAAAAATACTTTAGTGAGGCTATGAATCCAGTTCCGTTAATTGAAAGCCACTGTTTTTTTTTTAATGTGAACATTGCAGGGGTGGATGTTAATAACATGTTAGTAACATGTCAATGACATAGTCACACATCTCATGTGAATACCATATTAATAGCAGCCATAAACTGAAGTTCTGATTTCAGTTAAGCTCTCCTCTAAGGAGCCATCGCAGACATTTTTTTTCTTATTGTCAGAACCCCAACATGAAATTTTCAAGATATACTGTTTATGTACTGTTTACATACTCTGTGTATATCTATATGTTTTAAATAATAATATTTTATTACCACCCCAAAAATGATTTTTCTGTCCTCTTGGGGGTAGTGGGCAATATCGCCCCTGAGAGTACATGCTCTGGATGGAAAGGATGACTGTTCCCTGTCATTTCACATCACAGAATGTGTGCGTTTCCCTCATTCACCTTGCCTTTTATGGCAGCTGGTATCTATACAACTCCCCGAAGATTTTTTTTTTGAGACGGGGTTCTCGCTCTGTTGCACAGTCAGAAGTGCAGTGGTATGATCATGGCTCACTGGAGCCTTGAACTCCTGGGCCCCAGGTGATCCTCCCACCTCAGCTTCCCAAGCAGCTGGGACAGACTACCGGCATGCACCATCACGCTCACCTAACTTTTTAATTAGTAGAGACGGGGTCTAGCTATGCTGCCTAGGTTACCTAGGTTGCTCATGAGTTCCTGGCTTCAAGGTATCCTCCCACCCAAGCATCCTGAGTTGCTGAGATGACAGATATGAGCCATAATTCTAAAAACACTATGAGGCCAGGGAGTTGACACAATTCACCTCTGCATTCTCAGTGCACACTGCATTCAGGAGCACTCAGTATGTATCAGCTCAGAGTTTATAATCTTTTTTCATCATCATCCCCCTAAGGAGCCTTTTTAGACCTTTTTTTTCCTAATCACCACCCCCCCAGTGAAATGTTAACATCACTGATATACTGTATATCTGTTCATACACCACATATACATCTGTGCTTTATGCAAAACTGAGATTTTTTTTCACTCTCTTGCAGGTGCCAGCACCCCCACTGAAAATACAGCACTAGCTGAACAGAATCACCCGGCCCCGCCAGCTTCACGACATACTTTGTGGGGGTCTTCTGGATCCACCCAAGCCACGTGGAACATGTGTTTGATCTCCTCTGCCAGGCCAATCCGGGCCCCACTGTTGGCTGCCACGTAGATTTTGGGAATGCCCTCTGCCCGGGCCATCTCGGATGCTCGCAGATATAGAAGGTCCTCCCCGGGGCCAAAGGACCCGATGCGAAAGGTGATGTCGTTGCCGATGACGATCACGTCTCGCCCTTCTGGGTACTCCAGGGTCTTAAACCTCATTTTGAAGGCCACCATGCCCACCTGGCAAGGGGATAAACGAACAAGGAAAATGAGTTTGTTTCTTTGGGGGAAAAGTTTTTATTTTAGTTATTATAATTTTTTTAGATATAGGGTCTTGCTCTGTTGCCCAGGCCAGAGTGCACTGCTGCAATCACAGCTCATTGCAGCCTCAACCTCTGGGCTCAAGCAATCACCCCTGCCTCAGAGCTCCTAAGTAGCTGGGACTACAGGCACGCACCACCACACCCAGCTAATTTTTAAATTTTATGTAGAGACAGGTTCTCACCACATAGGCCAGGCTGGTCTTGAATGCCTGTCCTCAAGCAATCCAGCCATCTTTGCCTCCCAAAGCACTGGGATTACAGGTGTGAGCTACTGCACCTGGCCCAAAAATATTTTTAAGGGGGCGGCTCCAGCCAGGGCTACGCTCTGCTATTACCTCGTTTCCACCAGGAAGTCGGTTCATCTCCACCAACTGGCCCTGAGAGGCCAACACTAACTCAGTATAAGTCAGGATGTCTTTGGGATACTTGTCTGGGGAGCCCCACAGTTTAAAGAGAGCCTAAGAGAGAAGGAAAGAGAACACACTTGAAGTCATCAGTAGGGAAGAACTGTCTTTCCCAGTTGGCGATGATCTGTCATGATTCCAGGATAAGTTTCACAATTCTGTCTTTTCAATTCATGAAATATTTAAAGCATACCAAAAAACTCCACGTATTAACAGAATAAGAAACAAACACCTGGGGACCCATCCAGTGGCTCTGTCAAATCTTGATATATATACATATATCTATATATCTATACATACATACATGTATATATATCTATATTGATATATATACATATCTATATATATCTAGAAAGAGAGAGAGAGAGAGAGACAAACAGACAGATGGCCAGGCACAGTGGCTCATGCCTCTAATCCCAACACTTTGGGATGCCAAGGCAGGGCAGATCACCTGAGGCCAAGAGTTCAAGACCAGCCTGGCTAACATGGTGAAACCCTGTCTCCACCAAGCATTAAAAAATTAGCCAGGCATGGTGGCATACACCTGTAATCCCAGCTACTCCAGAGGCTAAGACAATAGAATCGCTTGAATCTGGGAGGCAGAGGTTGCAGTCAGCCGAGATTGCACCACTACACTCTAGTCTGGGCAACAGAGTGAGACTCTGTTTCAAAAAAAAAAAGACAGACAGACAGACAGACAGACAGACAGATAGATGATAGATAAATAGATAGCTACACACACACACACATACACACACATGCATACACCTAGGAGTGAAATTGTAGAATTTCTGGGACACAGGGAATGTGAAGCTTCAATTTCACTTGATATTGGTGCTCCCAATTTTTTTGAATCCCTTCACAAGCACCATAAGAATGTATAAAGACTCTTATGCTCCATATATTCTATATCATTTTGTTTTGTAAATTTTTTTTTTAAGACAGTGTTTTGCTGTGTCATCCAAGCAGGAGTGCAGTGGTGCAATCGTGGCTCACTGCAGCCTCAAGCTCCCAGACTCAAGTGATCCTCACAACTCAGCCTCCTAAGTAGCTGGGACTACAGGCACATGCCATCACATCTGGCTATTTTTTAAATTTTTTGTAGAAATGGGGTTGCCCAGGCTGGTCTCAAACTCCTGAGCTCAAGCGATCTGCCCACCTCAGCCACCCAAAGTGCTGGGATTACAGGTGTGAGCCACCACACCGGCCTGTAAAATTTTTTAGTGTTTACCCAACTGCTGTGTGTGAGACTGTACTGTGGTATTAATCTGTACTTCACTGATTATTAGTGAGGTGAGTGCCTTTTAATATGTTTCTTAACCATGTGGGTTTCTTTTTGGCAAGCTTTCTGTTTATAACTCCTACCCATATTTTTTATGGTTTTGCTTTTTTTTCTCATTGACTTGTAAGCATTCTACAGATGAGCTACTTCTAATCCCTTGCTGATCATAAGGCACTGAAATGCATTCTTCCAATCTGGGACTTGTCTTTCTGCTTTTGCAGAAGCAATGTCTAAGTTTTCATGTAAATTTATGTCTTTTCCTGTATAGCTTATGCTTTTAACTGACTCCAAATGGCTTTAATCATCTTGAAGTTTATTTTTGTTATCGGGTGTAGGAGAAATCAATTTTATTTTTTCCAATCAGATAAGCAATTTCCCTGTATCTGTTACTGAAGATCATTCCCTCATTCACAATCCCACCTCTGCATTCTATCAACATTCTACTTATGGGTCAGTCTGACTCTAGGCTCCCTATTCTGTCTAGTTCCATCACAATACCACACTATCTTAATTACTGTTGCCTTAAAATAAAGTTATGACATCTGCTAAGATGAGTCCTCCTGACTTTGTTCTTATTCAAAATTGTTTTTGCTATTCATGGGCTTTTACTTTTCCATATGAATTTTAAGATTAGCCTCCAAGTTTCACCAAAAAAACTCTGGAATTATATAGAATTTATTAATTTGAGAAAAACACAACATTGAATCTTCCCATTGTTCATGAGCATGGTATATCGCTGCATTTATTTAGGTTTAATGTCACTCAATGAGGTTTTAAAATTTCCTCCATAAAGATCTTATTTTTTAATTTTTTCCTAGACAAACTTATAGTTGGTCTTGTAAATGGTTTTTTTCTCCAATGACAATGTGCAATTACTACTGGTATATTGCAATTGCAACTGATCTACTGCCATTGCAATTGATCTATCTTAATTTCAATTGATAAAAATGCAATTATTTCTTATATACTGATCTTATGTCTAGCAATCTTGCTGTATTCTGTAACTGGTTCTATAGATTCTCTTAGATTTCTTACAGAGACATTTAGATCATCTGCAAAAAAAAAAAAGTCATCATTTTGCTTTTTTTCTTTCTTGTCTTTACACTTCATTTCTTTTTCCTGATTATTGCCTTGTCCAGGAACTCCAGTAAAAAATGTGTAACAGAAGCTGTGTTAGTGGATATTTCTGTCCTATACTTGTCTTTAAAAAGAATACTTCTAACATTTCGCCATTAGATTCTATTAATTTTGGGTTTTATATCCTCTATCAAGATAAACAGATTCCCTTCTATTCTTAGTTTGTTAAAAGCTTTTACAGATGTTGCCTTGTCAAAATTTTTTTTGCATCTATCAAGATATTTAAGCTTTTTCTTAATCTTTTAATACAGTAAACACATGAATAGACTTCCTAATATTAAACCATATAAGAAGACACCGGGTGAACTCTACTTTGTCTAAACTTTAAAAAAAATCATTACTGGATTTCATATGTTCATATTTTATTATTTTTGTGCCTGTGTTCATAATAAAATAACAAATTTCCCTTTTCCTTAAGTTCCTATCTGGGATTAATATTAAGCTAATAACCTGAAAAAATGAGTTAAGAAGTGTTCACCTTTTTAAAACTCTCTACACAATCTATAAACAGAGAGAATTGTTTCCTAAAGGTTTGATAAAATTGTTATAAAACTATCTGGGCCCAATTTTTAAAAAACTATTAATTTCTTTAATGCTTATAATGTATTCAGATCAGATTTTACATTTACTTTACAGCCATTTTTGATAAGATGTATTTTCCTCAGAAAATTTCTACTTCATCTAAGTTTTCAAATATGTCAGTCATTCACAGCATTCTGTTTCTTTATCTAAAAAAGAGAGGATGGATTTGCTCCTGATTTAGTCATGTTTCTTCCCTTATGGTTCTTGAGGTCAGAGGCAAAAGGATACAGACAATGACATTCTTAATTATAAGAGTTTCCACTTATTAATTACCTACTGAATACATACACTTCTCCAACAACCTTATGTGGTAGGTACTGTCATTGTCCTTATTTTACAGAGAAGGAAACTGAGGCCTAGAGAGGTCACAGAACTTGACTAGGGACAACAGGAAGCAAGGGGACAGATCCAACATTCGTGCCAATGCCTGAGTGACTCTAAAGAGCAGCTTTTCCTACTCTTTCATATCCTGTATGTATGAGGCGCAGCCACAGGACGTTTCTTGCCTACACTGGGAGGTCCTTGACCATGGTTTCATGAACGTTATTCACAAAGCAATGGTGGGAAGTTAAGAGACATTCACATCACCAATGTCAGTGGTTCAGTCTCCTTTAAAGGCTCTATGGCGTAAACATATAAAGGCATAAAAACACTTGAAGGAAATGCACCGAAATGTTATTTCAGGCATCAATGGTGGGAAAATTACATAGGAGTGAAATTGTATTTCCTTATTCTTACCTTTCCATAATTTCCAATGTATACTTTAATCATCAGAAAAACATAATAAAGCATTATTATTATTATTATTATTATTATTAGAGACAGAGTCTCACTCTGTCACTAGGGCTGGCTAATTTTTGTATTTTTAGTAGAGGCAGGGTTTCACCATGTTGGCCAGGCTGGTCTCAAAGTCCTGACCTCAAATAATCCACCCGCCTTGGCTTTTCAAAGTGCTGGGATTACAGGTGTAAGCCACCACACCCAACCCAAAACATTATTTTTTAAGAGTAGACTAAAAATTACTCCAAGGCAGTGACCCCATCCTCTTTCCCACAGCCTTCTATACTTTGAATGGTGGCTGGCAAGTAGTTAATAAATGGCCATTGAAAAGACAAGAAGGAAACACATTGAAATGTGAAGCAATTTGTCATCCAAGTGTGGGACTAGGAATTGTTTTTTCTTTGTTCCATCCTCCTTTATTTTCTGAAGTTTCTATATCCTAGTACTTTTATCATTGGGATAAATTAGGCTTATTTGGGGGAAAATACTTTGAAGTCGTTCTCAACACATTAATTTATTTTTCTTCAATGAAGATCTTGTTCTTTTTTTTTGAAGATGGGGTCTCAACCTCCCAGGCTCAGGTGATCCTTCCTGCCTCAGCCTCCAAGTAGCTGGGACTACAGGCATGTGCCACCATGCCCGGCTAATTTTTGTACATTTTCTAGAGACAGGGTTCTTCAACTCCTGGGCTTAAGCAATCCTCCCTCCTCGGCCTCTGGAAGTGCTGGGATTACAGGCATGAGCCACCGCAGCTGGCAAGACCTTGTTCTTTAGACTAGGTCTTTAGAAGGAGAGTTAAGGATGGGCTTTGGTTCTGGTGGAGTCTGCAGGGAGGAACTAGGCGGTATCGTGTGTCTAAGCTACTGGACTTGCCTGCCTGAACATTTCCGGGAAATCATAGATGTAGGTGGTTCCCAGGGACTGGGCCTGGAATCGCTTGGCCTGGAGCAGATCCTTGGTGACGTAGGGAGTATTGATCAGCATTCCGTGCTGGGGGCCTTGCTTGTTGCCGAAGGAGTGAAACATGATCTGGACCAGAAAGGAAGGAAAACAGAGCATGAGAGAGAATCACATTTCTCCCCAATTTATTTATGGCCAGTCCTCAATGAAAGTGCAGTTGGCGGAAGCAAAGCTTGTCACATGGCATAACAAAGTGAGTGCCTGAGCTAGGTAAAACTCTCTTCTTCACCTCTGTGGAGAACCAGAACAAGAAGGGACAACAGGAGCTATGGATACACAGTTTCAAAAATACGGAGATCAGGGCATCACACACTCCCAACAAACAGGCATGCATGGAAACGCTGGTGAAATCTGAACACAGTCCACTTTGGAGCTAACAGTTCTGTACCAATGTCAATTTCCTGTTTTAATGACATACAATGGTGACGTTCAATATCAACATTGGGGGAAATTGGGTGAAAATTGTCTGCACTATTTTTTTTCTCTATATTAATTTTGCAATGGCTTCAGAGTCTTCAGTCTTCAATTATTGCAAAATTAAAAGTGATCAAGCACAACAGCATGTGCCTGTAGTTCCAGCTACTTGCGAGTCTGAGGCCAGAAGACCGCCTGAACCCAGGAGTTCAAGTCTAGTCCAGGCAACATCTCTTTAAAACACAGCATGTATATGTTCATATATATATATGCACACACATACATTATGAATTTAAATGGCAGTCAAAAGGATATTTAATTGACTTTACAAAAGTCTGTCCTAAAACATGGTTGGGTTAAGTATTTCCCTAAGTGAGCCAATCTGAGGACTGCATTATAGTCAACCACAGCAGTGCACAAACTTATCCCAAATACAGCCGTAAGGCCAGGCACAGTGGCTCACGCCTATAATCCCAGCACCTTGGGAGGTCAAGGCAGGCAGATCACTTGAAGTCAGGAGTTTGAGACCAGCCTGGCCAACATGGCAAAACCCCTTCTCTACCAAAAATCCAAATATGGCCACAGAACGGATTAAACCTGGTGATTCCTTCTCCTTCTTAGGTGAATGAACAACCAAGATTCAAAGGCTAACACATTTATCATAAAACTCAGAGGGACTACCCCAACCCAGCATGACATGGCAGAGCAAGGCAAGACAGAACCCAAATGCCATTTTAATCTACAAATGGATGGCCCAAGCAGCCTGCCTCTGCTTTAACTTAGACCCCCGTGACCCAGCCCAGACTTACATTTCCGGATCTGGGGTCGGTCACTTCTTTGTAGATGCTGATGTCCAGGTAGTAGCCTGACTCGTTGGTGATGAACAGGCGGATGGGAACGGCACTGCCGGTGGTGGTCTGGCGGATGTTGATCTTGACCTCGGCCTGCAGCACGCGGAGTTTCCACAACCGGCTGCCGTAGCGCATAACCATGGAGCGCACGGACTCCTCGATCTGCCCCAGAACACAGCAATTCCAGCTTCAGGGACCAGCCATCCCATGGACGTTTGCAATAGCACTGACACTAAAGCGAGGGTGAGACAGGCTGACTGCAAAAATGCCTGGGACATAGTATGTATCCAACAAAAAGTATTAACTCATAACGAACAACAGCTCTTGCTAAGCATTTAAAACTCTACCTCATTTTACCCTGGTAAGTTCTCGAGAGAGGCAGGCTTTTTTATCCCTCATTGACAGACAAGAAAACTGCGGCTGATAAGGACTGAGCCAGGACTGCTACATCATACCATCTTACATGCCTATGACTCCAGCCACTGTGCTGCTTCCTTTGGAACTATGTGAACTAGTGAAGTCAGGGAATCTGCATAGGCCCCTGAAACCCCCAGAAAGCAAATGGATGTACCAAGACTTCTCTTTTTAATAATATTTTATTAATTATTTTTAATCATAGATAATAAAATAATATATATTATGAAATATTATAATAAAATATATTTATGTTTATATATTATAAAGTAATATATATTATTAAATATAATAAAATATATCTATTTTATATATTAAAATAATATGTTAAGTATTGTAATAAAATAGTTATATATTTTATATATTATAAAAATATTTTAATGTTAATAGTGTTGCTTTATTAATATATCAATAATAATATTGCTTTATTAATATGTTAATATTAATAATATTGATTTTATTAATAATTTTAATATTATTTTGTTTTTTAATTTTTAAAGTTTTTAGTAGAGATGGGGTCTCTCTATGTTGCCCAGGCTTGTCTCAAATTCCTGGGCTCAAGCAATCTAACACCTCAGCCTCCCAAAGTACTGGGATTACAGGCAGGGCTTCTTTCACTCCAGAATCACCGCCATAAACACCTGTCTGCTCGTGAAGAGCGACCCAACAGGGAACACTGAGCCACAGGCCTCCCAGTCTCATTCCTCTCCCCCTGCACATGCAGTCCCCAGTGCAGCCTGGAACCAGGGAAACGACAATGTTTTGTTTTCCAAGACATTCTGAGCATCCTTGTCATCCTTAAAGTGCAGCACTCCCATGCAGGGCGTGGCTAAAGCCTAGCTCTGGAATTAATGGCAGCAGATGTGTTCTCCTCCTGCAGCAACTGAGGCTCAAATACACACGGATTCACCCCGGAACCCAGGTCTCGAGTGGCAGGAGACAATACCCCAAAGCAACATGGCTCGGAGGGTGAACCCAGAGTCCGGTGAGAGCCCCACCCCCGGCAAAGGCGAGACCTTGAAGGGGTCCATGATGACGGTGGGCACGAAGTTGAGGAAGATGTGGTTGCAGTCGGTGCGCACGCTGGTGTTGTTGAACGCCACCTCCAGCTCGTCCATGGCCTCCAGCAGCAGCCGCTCCCCCTCATTCTGCAGGTACTCAAAGGAGGCTTCCTGTCAAAGGGCAGGAGGGAGAGGTGCTCAGGGCAGGGGCGCAGGCCCACTCCTAGCTGGCTGGAATCTCTGCCTCAGACACAGAGGCAGAGGCAGGAGGAAAACATTACCCTCCTCCAAAGAGTGTGCCAGGCAAAAACAGCAGAGCCCTGCCTCTAAGCTGCAAAGGGACTGCAAAGCTGGGGTTGAGTGTATTGACACCATGTGTCCTATTTTCTGCATCCCGACGCTTCGACACCTGGCGACCTGCTGACCCTGGATCATACCTGGGGTCACAAACCACCTGCCCTAATCACCCAGGGCCAGGGCCAGGGCCAGAGAACTAGAGACAGCTTCTATACCCCAGAGTCTGCTGAGATGATTCACACCCAATCCTAAGCCCCTTTACCCAGCCTCACCCTTTTCTTGAGGAAACCACAATCAAGGCTCTTGTCCACCTCTTCCTCTCCGTCCCTCTGCTGCCCGACCAACCCCAGAACCTCCCCCACCCCGTGGCAGGGAGAGCCCCTTCTTCTTGGGAACTGTGAGGAATAAACTGTTTTTTCAATGGCAGTCATCTCCTGATCTGTTGGCCTCACCATACCTCAATAATAATAAAACCTATTAAAACAGCTGGGCCAGGCACAGTGGCTCACACCTGTAATCCCAGCACTTTGGGAGGCTGAGACTGGTAGAATGATTGAGGTCAGGAGTTCGAGACCAGCCTGACTAACATGGTGAAACCCTGTCGCTACCAAAAATACAAAACTTAGCTGGGCATGGTGGCAGGTGCCTGTAATCCCAGTTACTCAGGAGGCTGAGGCAGGAGAATTGCTTGAACCCAGGAGACAGAGGTTGCAGTGAGCCAAGATCGTGCCACTGCACTCCAGCCTGGGTGACAAGAGCAAAACTCCATCTCTAAATAAATAAATAAATAAATAAAATGTCTAGTTGATTGTGTTAGCAAAAAACTGCAGTTAGTTTAATATCCATTAATAGGGGATTAGTAAAAAAAAAAAAAAAAATTACACACATGGTACATCCGTGCAAGGAAATAGCATGCGGTGAACAATTCTTTATTAACAATGAAAGAGGTCGCAAGTAAGTGATCAATTAAAGAAAAATATCTCCAAATGATCTGTCTACTCTGAGCTCTGATCTCTTATCAACTCTAGGTTTTAGGGACAGAATTATGTCTAGAAACGGTCACCAACTGAGCTGGCTCCTCAGTGACAGGATCCTGGGTCCCTGAGCTTGGTTTTCAGTCTTACTTAAAATTTTCAAAGTATAATCATGGATTACTTCTGTTTCTTTCTTTTCTTTCTTTCTTTCTTTCTTTCTTTCTTTCTTTCTTTCTTTCTTTCTTTCTTTCTTTTTCTTTCTCTCTCTCTCTCTCTCTCTCTCTCTCTCTTTCTCTCTTTCTCTCTTTCTCTCTTTCTCTCTTTCTTTCTTTCTTTCTTTCTTGAGACAGATTCTTGCTCTATCCCCCAGGCTGAAGTACAATGGCTCCATCTCAGCTCACTGCAACCTCCACCTCCCAGGTTCAAGGAATTCTCATGCCTCAGCCACCTGAGCAACTGAGATTACAGGCATACGCTACACGCCCAGGTAATTTTTGTATTTGTAGTAGACACAGGGTTTCACCATGTTGGCCAGGCTGGTCTCAAACTCCTGACCTCACGTGATCCGCCTACCTCAGCCTCCCAAAGTGCAGGGATTACAGGCGTGAGCCACTGCACTTGGCCCCAGATTACTTTTCTAAATGCAAGAAACAATGGAAAATGATCAATCAGTAACTATAAGAAATTCCCTGAACAAAGCAGTATTTTTCTATCCTGGAAAATTTCTTCTCATGCGCAGAGATCCACCTAATACAAGAAACAGATCCAAGTGCCACCAGCCCGGACACGATCCCAGGCCACTTTGCTGTCCGCCTCCTGCCCTGGACTGCAGCGTCACAAGGGCAGGCCCCCGTGTGTCTGGTGTACTCTCCATCCCCAGCGTGCAGCCCAGGACCCAGCACAGAGAGGAGTGTAAGGAAGGGAGGGCCAGGTTCTGAGAGGAAGAAATGCTCTGAGACCTCTTACCTTTGTAATCAGGTCCGAGTGCCTGATGATGGCGCGGATGAAGAACCTATGATCCGTCACTTCTGCCCCTTCCTTCACCTTGGCAGCACCCAGGTAAAGGTGCATCTTGTGGTTGGCACAGGGCACAGCGGTCAGATCGAAGTTACGCATCCGGCTGAGTTCCAGCTGGAAGGCCAGGGCAGGCTCCAAGTGGCGGTAAATGCGATCTTCCGCGAACTGTAGGCCGACCAGAGAGAAGACAGACACACACACACAGTTTGACTTTGGAGCTGCGTGCTGCTTGGTCCACGCCCTCCTCCTCTGCAGACCCCTGGTGTCCAAGGGTTTCACACTCAGGAATGCAGCATTCATCGGTCCCCTAATTGTAAGCCACCCCTGGGGCTCCCAATATTTGGAGTTTTGCTAAGATCTGAGGAGAGCCAGGAGCATTGCAAGCCTGGTGTGCTGGGTGCAGCTCTGGCTCCTGGGGGAACCTAGCTAGTCCCTATCACCTGCCAGCGTGACCAGGCTGTTCTCCATCTGTCCCAGCCTGTGGCAATTCTCATGAAGCCACTAACCCCTGGTTTCTTGGTGGAAATTGGTCCCCAAAAGGAAAGTAACTGACAGTGTTGGAAACTAAACTGAAAAAAAAAAAATGAAGACTGTAAGAAAAGGATGGGTCTTAGCTAGAAAAATAAAGCTTTGGATAAATTAAAATACAAAATGCAGAATTTGGTGGGGTCTTGAATCCATGCTGGGAATAAACCTACCCGCTCTACAACAGAGAACCCAGTAAACTTTTTCTTAAAGGGCCAGAGAGTAAATGTTTTAGGCTGATGGATCATACGGGCTCTGCCACAAATACTCAATTCTGCTACTGTTAAAGTGAAAGCCAGAGCAGACAGTGTGGAACCAAATGGGTGTGGCTGTGTTCCAATAAAACTTTATTCATAAAAAAAGGCAGCTGGCCTGCAAGTGAGTTTGCCTACCACTGTTCTAGAAGAGCATAAGAAAAAAGGGTTAGGAAAAAATGTCTTACCGAGTACATCGGCAAGTACTGAAATTATCCAAGCAAGACAGAAATCTGTAGTGAGGCTGAAAGGGCAAGATTCTTCAGGTCTGAGTGCCATGCAGGGAACAGACCTCTCACCGGAAATACAATCCCAGAGGAAGACTAGAGTCTACACAAAATTTGCCACATTCTTGAATATGGGGATGCCTTAAGGACTGCAGACCATATTCATCACGAATATCAAAGATGCCAGGGAGCTAGGAGGCACAGTGGCACGTGCCTGTCATCTCAGCTACTTGGGAAGCTGAAGCAAGAGGATTGCTTGAGCCTACCAGTTCAAGTCCGGCCTGGGAAACAGAGCGAGATCCCGACTCTTTTTTTTTTTTTTTTTGAGACAGGGTCTCTCACTCTGTCACCCAGGTTGGAGTGCAGTGGCATCATCTCGGCTCACTGAAACCTCTACTTCCCAAGTTCAAGCAATCTTCTCCCTCAGCCTCCCAAGTAGCTGGGACCACAGGTGTGCATCACAATGCCAGGCTGATTTTTTACATTTTTTTTTTTTGTAGAGACAGAGTATCACTAAGTAACCCAGGCTGGTCTAGAACTCCCGAGCTCAAGCAAGCCTCCTGTCTCAGCCTCCAAGTTCTAGCATTATAGCCATGAGCCACTATGCCCAGCCCCATCCCATCTCCTAAAAAGCAAAAAAGATGCCAGAGAAGAGAAAGCATCATTACTTTTGGCCATACCTCATCTCTTGCTCTGAATGTGAAAAACTTGGGAAATTCTTTCTGCAAAAAGAAATCCACACACAAGACAATTAAATCAAGCAAGATGCACTGAAATATTCCCATACTTGTTTAGTGATTGTCAACGATGACATTCACTTCTAGAATGAATCATTTGGGAATCCTTCTCTTTTCTGATGATTGATCTCTTTCACCCAAATCTACAAAATAAATATCAAATAAATGGCACACACCAAGGCTTGCAGAATGGAAAAGACTCAGAGAGATGAACTGTGAACTAACCTCTTGGGCAATCAGGAATGTGATTCGTCGGAGTCCATAATCCACAAGGATATTTTTCTGCATCAAAAACCAAAGACACAATGGAATATTATTTGGCCATAAAAAGAACTGAAGTACTGCCGCATGTTACCACATGGATGAGCCTGGTAAATATCACGCTAAGTGGAAGATGTCAATCACAAGAGACCGCCTATGGTCTGATTCCATTTATATGAAATATCCAGAATAGGCAAATCTATAGAGACAGAAAGTAGATTAGCAGTTGCCCAGGGCTGTGGTGGGGAGAGGGTTTTTGGGTCAGTGGACAGAGGGGAGTGACTGCTAACAGGTAAAGGGTTTTTCTTTTTCTTTTTCTTTTTTTGAGATGGAGTCTTGCTCTGTCGCTCCGGCTGGAGTGCAGTGGCGTGATCTCGGCTCATTGCAACCTCTGCCTCCTGGGCTCAAGCAATTTTCCTGCCTCAGCCTCCTGAATGGCTGGGACTATAGGTGCGTGCCACCACACCTTGCTAGTTTTTTGTATTTTTAGTAGAGACAGAGTTTCACCATGTTAGCCAGGATGGTCTGGATCTCCTGACCTCACAATCTGCCCACCGTGGCCTCCCAAAGTCTGGGATTACAGGCGTAAGCCATCGCACCCAGCTGATACAGGGTTTTTCTAAATGTTCTAAAATTGATTCTAGTAATGATTGCACAACCTGGTGAATATACTAAAAATATATTAAATTGTACATTTTACTTTATTTTTTCTTATTTCTTCCAAAAAAAAAAAGGATAATGTGCAGAGTAGGTGTGCCACATAGGTATATGTGTGCCACATAGGTGTATGGGTGCCACATAGGTATATGGGTGCCATGGTGGTTCGCTGCACCTATTAACCCATCCTCCAAGTTCCCTCCCCTCACCCCTCACCCACTAACAGGCCCCAGTGTCTGTTGTTCCCCTCCCTGTGTCCATGTGTTCTCGATGTTCAGCTCTCACTTATAAGTGAGAATACATGGTGTTTGGTTTTCTGTTCCTGCATTCGTTTGCTGAGGATGATGGCTTCCAGCTCCACCCATGTCCCTGCAAAGGACATAATCTCTTTCCTTTTCATGGCTGCAAGGTTGTACACTTTAAATGGGTGAATTGTGTAGTATGTCAATGATATCTCAATAAACCTGTTATTAAAAAGATAATTTAAAAATATCACGTTGTATACTGTAAATATATAATTTTTTTTTTTTGAGACACGGTCTCGCTCTGCCCCCCAGGCTGGAATGGAACAGCACTGCAGGCTTCCAGAGCAAGCTGCCGTTATTGGCACACTTGGTCATCAATGTAAGTGGCATTTTAAAACTGCCAGTTTCTGGATTATTCCAACAAAAACATTCCCAGAACATCTCCAAACTATTTACCAGGTGTGCCCTCTGTACTTGGGACTGGCTGAGCAGTGTATATACTTTGTCACTGAATCACTGCCACACCGTGGGCAGAAAAATGGTGTTCCCACGTTCAGCCACGTCTGCCGAAGGTAGCCAGCTACGAGGCAAGCAGAGCTACAGTGGGAAGACGGGTCTGTGGCTCTGAAGTGCTCAGCAGGCTTCCCTCCCCAAGGGCTGCCTCGCAAAGCCCAGCCCCTCCTCCTTCTCCAAGAACCCCCACGAAAGCCAGAGGCAAGCCCAGAGTACCTTGGACTGTACGAATGTCCGTAAAATCGGCACCAGTGCCTCATCTTCCAGGCGGTCTGCACATTGGATGGACACGTTCAGAATGTGAATGGGCTCTTCTCTGAGGCTCTGAAAGGGAGAAGCAAGGATTGGAGCTGGAAAGCCTCGGGGCGACGGCCCACGACTCCCCAGGTTGCTCCCTGGGCTTAGATGCTTACCTTGCAGTCATCCTCAGAATACAGGGAGGTGCGGGCCTCACTGAAGAGGGGGGTGTCTTTGGGCACGTTGGCGAAGCAGGAGATGACTTCATCAAAGTTTCTGGGGGCGCGGGTAGAGAGGGAGGGCTGAGGGGTCGCTGGCCCATGGGGATGAGGTCAAGTTTCCAACCCAGGCAGCAGGGAGCGCCAGCCCCTCCCTATTTCTCGGCCAACAACCTGTGATCTTATCCAACTCTAAAGAGCTCAGGGGGTTCCCTGTCTACTTTGTCTAAGGCACCCTGTGATGGATGGGTCCTTCTCAAAAGGGAAGAAAGACCTTAACCGATCTGTGATCAGGAATACAGGGAAGGATTCCAACGCTTTCGGGCATCACCTGGGCTTGAGATCAACTCTTGGCTCCCATTTTTACTGACTGGGAGATCCCAGAAACCTCATCTCACCCCAGAGTCAAAGAAAGGTAAGAGTCATCCCTATGCCTCATGAGGCTATTATGAAAATTCAACAAGATACTCCAAGCCCAAAGCAGAAGACACAGTGAAAGGCTGAAGAAAGACGGTAACAGTCACTACTGAGCTCACATTTAGTCATTATGTTATCTGCAAATTATACTTTATGTTATTTCACACACATTATCTCATTTAATTCTCATGGCACCCCTATGAAGTGGGTCCTTTATTGCTACCATTTTACAGATGAGAAAACAAAGGTACAAAGAGGTTAAATATTTTGCTCAGTCTCTCACTTAGAAAGCGCACAGCCAGAATTCAAACCAGGCAAGCCGACGTGCAGGCTCACACTCTTGGCTACGATGCTGTTATTATTCTGTTGTTATTGACGCACTATGCCATGTTTCTGGGTCTCTCCTACCCCATCTGTCCAGTGAATGGGTGGGGTTCAGGAAAGCCTGCCCAGCCCCCATGCTCAGGGTGTTTGGGATACCGGGCTATGCTGGTTACCTGGTAAAGTCCTCGAATCTCCTGAAGGCTACCATGGCCCCCATGCGCTGACACAGTGGGGAGAAGCCGCTGTCCATGAAGAGCTCCGTGCTGTGCCTCAGCAGGTCAGGGTTGGTGATGCTGATGGGCACGGTCATCCTGTAGGGTGATGGCAAGTAGGGGATGAGGCAGCTGCTTGCAGATCCAACCCTATGAGTTTTCCTGCCCCTGAAGCTTCAGTGAGCTGGAACAGATTTAGAGCTCTTCCGAAGGGGGTCTTAAAATGGGTAGGGGATAAGATAATGGCTAGGGCTGGGGCCTGAGGAGGGTCTCATCTGATCCCTCAGGACCTGGTGAAGAATAAGAGCTCGACAAGTGTAGGAATCAATGATTTATGCATGAGAGTCCAGTCCCAACACAGTCCTGAGGGGCTGAACTTGACCATACAGAGAAGAAACATGCCCAGCATCAATTTCTCCTGGAGAAATGCACCAGCCCCAGCCAGCTGATGAGGGAGTCAGGCTTGGTCCTGAGGGACACTCCAGTCCTCTGCTCCCTCTAATCCTTCCCTCTCCATCAAACTTGTCCTTGGGACAGAGTCAGCAGCCTTCTGGAGTTTAGACAATGATGCTCCCAGAACTGGCTGCTCACCAGCAGCAAATCTCCATGGGCTGCCTGAGGTTGTCAGAATTGGGCCTTGGAATCAGGAATGGGAGGGGTAATCAAAAGATGTGCAGGAAGTCAACACAGTCGGTCTGACACTCCTTTTCTGCTTGCTTACAAGGACAGCCCTGGGCTGGCATCTGGGAACTTGGATTTGGGGAAGGTTCCTATCATTCCCTGAAGGTGACAAGGGTGACTCGCTGTGCCTCAAATGTTTGCATAAACAGTGTGCTTTATGCCGAACACCTGCTTTTTAAAAATTTTTTATTGTACTTTAGATTCTGGGGTACATGTGCAGATCATGAAGAATTGTTGCATAGGTACATACATGGCAAGGTGGTTTGCTGCCTCCATCCCCCTGTCACCTGTATCTGACATTTCTCCCCATGTTATCCCTCCCCAACCTCCCTATCCCTCACTGTCTCTCCCCTAGTGCTCCCCAACAGACCCCAATATATGATGTTCCCCTCCCTGTGTCCATGTGTTCTCATTGTTCAACACCTGCCTATGAGTGAGAACATGTGGTGTTTGATTTTCTGTTCTTGTGTGAGTTTGCTGAGAATGATGGTTTCCAGATTCATCCATGTCCCTACAAAGGACATGAACTCATTGTTTTTTAGGGCTACATAGTATTCCATGGTGTATATGTGCCACATTTTCCTTGTTCAGTTTATCATCAATTGGCATTTGGGCTGGTACTAAGTCTTTGCTATTGTAAACAGTGCCGCAATGAACATACGTGTGCATGTGTCTTTATAACAGAATGATTTATAATCCTTTGGATATATACCCAGTAACGGGATTGCTGGGTCAAATGGAATTTCTGTTTCTAGGTCCTTGAGGAATCGCCACACTGTCTTCCACAATTATTGAACTAATTTACACTCCCACCAACAGTGTAAAAGTGTTCCTATCTCTCCATATCCTCTCCAGCATCTGTTGTCTCCAGATTTTTTAATGATCGCCATTCTAACTGGTGTGAGGTGGTATCTCAATGTGGCTTTGATTTGCATTTCTCTAATGACCAGTGATGATGAGCATTTTTTCATATGTTTGTTGGCCTCATATATATCTTCTTTTGAAAAGTGTCTGCTCATGTCCTTTGCCCACTTTTGAATGGGTTTGTTTGTTTCTTGTAAATCTGTTTTAGTTCTTTATAGATTCTGGATATTTGCCTTTTTTCAGATGAGTAGATTGCAAACATTTTTTCCCATTCTGTTGGTTGCCAGTTCACTCTAATGATTGTTTGTTTTGCTGTACAGAAGCTCTGGAGTTTAATTATATTCCATTTGTCTATTTTGCCTTTTGTTGCCAATGCTTCTGGTATTTTAGTCATGAATTCCTTGCCTATGTCTGTGTCCTGAATGATTTTGCCTAGGTTTTCTTCTAAGGTTTTTATGGTATTAGGTTTTATATTTAAATCTTTAATCCATCTGCAGTTAATTTTAGTGTAAGGTGTCAGGAAGGGGTCCAGTTTCTGCTTTCTGCACATGGCTAGCCAGTTTTCCCAACACCATTTATTAAACAGGGACTCCTTTCCCCATTGCTTGTTTTTGTCGGGTTTGTCAAAGATCAGATGGTTGTAGATGTGTGGCGTTGCCTCTGAAGCCTCTGTTCTATTCCATTGATCGGATCTCTGTTTTGGTACCAGTACCATACTGTTTTGATTACTGTAGTCTTGTAGTATAGTTTGAAGTTAGGTAGCTTGATGCCTTCAGCTTTGTTCTTTTTGCTTAGGCTTGTCTTGGCTATGCAGGCTCTCTTTTGGTTCCATATGAAGTTTAAGGTGGTTTTTTCCAGTTCTGTGAAGAGGGTCATAGGCAGCTTGATGGGGATGGCGCTGAATATGTAAATTACTTTGGGCAGTATGGCCATTTTCACAATATTGATTCTTCCTAACCATGAGCATAGAATGTTTCTCCATCTGTTTGTGTCCTGGACCTGGGCTTCTTTTGGTTGGTAGGCTATTAATTGCTGCCTCAATTTCGGCCCTTGTTATTGGTCTATTCAGGGTTTCAACTTCTTCCTGGTTTAGCCTTGGGAGGGTGCAAGTGTCCAGGAATTTATCCATTTCTTCCAGGTTTACTGGTTTATGTGCATAGAGTTGTTTGTAGTAATCTCTGATGGTAGTTTGTATTTCCGTGGAATTGGTGGTGATATGCCCTTTATTGTTTTTTACTGCATCTATTTGACTTTTCTCTCTTTTCTTTTTTATTAATGTGAGGCTAGCAGCCTATTTTGTTGATCTTTTCAAAAAATCAGCTCCTGGATTTATTGATTTTTTGAAGGGTTTTTTGCTTCTCTATCTCCTTCGGTTCTGCTCTGATCTTAGTTATTTCTTGTCTTCTGCCAGCTTTTGAGTTTTTTTAATCTGGCTTCTCCAGCTCTTTCAGTTTTGACGGTAGGGTATTGATTTTAGATCTTACCTTGCTTCTCATGTGGGCATTTATTGCTATAAATTTTCCTCTAGACACTGCTTTAAATGTGTCCCAGAGATTCTGGTATGTTGTGTATTCGTTCTCATTGGTTTCGAAGAACACCTTTATTTCTGCCTTCATTTCATTGTTTATCCAGTCAACATTCAAGAGCCAGTTGTTCAGTTTCCATGAAGTTGTGCGGTTCTGAGTTAGTTTCTTAATCCTGACTTCTAATTTGATTGCACTTTGGTCTAAGAGACTGTTTGTTATTTCCTTTCTTTTGCATTTGCTGAGGAGTGATTTACTTCCAATTATGTGGTCAATTTTAGAGTAGGTGTAATGTGGTGCTGAGAAGAATGTATATTCTGTGGATGTGGCGTGAAGAGTTCTGTAGATGTCTATTAGGTTTGCTTGGTCCAGATCTGAGTTTAAGTCCTGGATATCCTTGTTAATTTTCTGTCTCGTTGATCTAATATTGACAGTGGAGTGTGAAAGTCTCCCACTATTATTGTGTGGAAGTCTAAGTCTCTTTGTAGGTCATTAAGAACTTGCTTTATGTATCTAGGTGCTACTGTATTAGGTGCGTATATATTTAGGATAGTTAGCTCTTCTTATTACGTTGATCCTTTTACCACTATGTAATGCCCTTCTTTGCCTCTTTTGATCTTTGTTGGTTTAAAGTCTATTTTATCAGAGACTAGGATTGCAACTCCTTTTTTTTTTTGCTCTCCATTTGCTTCATAAACCTTCCTCTAATCTTTTATTTTTAGCCTATGTGTGTCACTGCATGTGAATGGGTTTCCTGCATACAGCACACCAATGGGTTTTGACTTTTTATCCAATTTGCCAGTCTGTGTCTTTTGACTGGGGCATTTAGCCCATTTACATTTAAGGTTAATATTGTTATGTGTGAATTTGATCTGCCATTTTGATGCTAGCTAGTTGTTTTGCCCATTAGTTGATGCAGTTCCTTCATTGTGTCAATGGTCTTTACCATTTGGTACATTTTTGGAGTGGCTGGTATTGCTTGTTCCTTTCTATGTTTAGTGCTTCTTTCAGGAGCTCTTGTAAGGCAGTCCTGGTGGTGACAAAATCTCTCAGTAATTGCTTGTTCGTAAAGGATTTTATTTCTCCTTTGCTTATGAAGCTTAGTTTGGCTGGATATGAAATTCTAGGTTGAAAGTTCTTTTCTTTAAGGATGCTGAATATTGGCCCCCACTCTCTTCTGGCTTGTAGGGTTTCTGCTGAGAGATCTGCTATGAGTCTGATGGGCTTCCCTTTGTGGGTAACCAGACCTTTCTCTCTGGCTGCCCTTAGGATTTTTTCCTTCATTCCAACTCTGGTGAATCTGACGATTACGTGCCTTGGGGTTGCTCTTCTTCAGGAATATCTTTGTGGTGTTCTCTGTATTTCCTGGACTTGAATGTTGGCCTGCCTTGCTAGGTTGGGAAGTTCTCCTGGATAATATCCTGAAGAGCATTTTCCAGCTTGGATTCATTCTCTCTGTCACATTCTGGTACATCTGTCAAACGTAGATTAGGTCTTTTCACATAATCCCATATTTCTTGGAGGCTTTGTTCATTTCTTTTCACACTTTTTTCTCTAATCTTGCCTTCTCATTTTATTTCATCGAGTTGATCTTTGATCTCTGATATCCTTTCTTCTGCTTGGTCGATTTGGCTATTGAAACTTGTGTATGCTTCACGAAGTTGTCTTGTTGTGTTTTTCAGCTCCATCAGGGTCATTTATATTCTTCCCTAAGTTGTTTATTCTCGTTAGCATTTTGCCTAGCCTTTTTTCAAGGTTCTTAGTTTCTTTGCATTGGGTTAGAACATGTTCTTTTAGCTCAGAGAAGTTTGTTATTACCAACCTTCTGAAGCCTGTTTCTGTCAATTCATCAGACTCATTCTCTATCCAGCTTTGTTCCCTTCCTGATGTGGAGTTGTGATACCTTGGAGGAGGAGAGGCGTTCTGGTTTTTGGTGTTTTCATCCTTTTTGCACTAGTTTCTTCCCATCTTTGAGGATTTATCTACCTGTAGTCTTTGTAGTTGGTGACTTTTGGATGGGGTCTCTGAGTAGATGTCCTTTTTGTTGATGCTGGTTATTTCTTTCTGTTTTTTAGTTTTCCTTCTAATCATCAGACCCCTCTGCTGTAGGACTGCTGGAGGTCCACTCCAGACTCTGCTTGCCTGGGGATCACCCACAGGGGCTGCAGAACAGTAAGGGTCGCTGAAAGTTTCTTCTTCCGTTATATTCATCCCGGAAGGGTACCCATCAGATGTCAGCCTGAGCTCTCCTTTACGGGGTGTCTCTTTGGATATATAGGAGTCAGGGAGCTGCTTGAGGAGACAGTCTGTCTCTTAGAGGAGCTCAAGTGCTGAGCTGGGAGCTCCATTTTTCCATTCAGAGCTTCTGCTTCTGCTGCAGCGGAACTCATAAATGCCTTTTTCCCCAGATGCTCTATCCTGGGAAGGGAACACCTGCTTTCTTCTGCAAGCCTGAGATTTTGCTGCAGGGCAGAGGGTGATGTGAACAGCCACCAGTAAAATGCCTGGTGCAGAGATGGAAGACAGCCCTTCACCTGTGTTGCCACAGCTCCTTGCTGGGGGAATGAAATGCGCCCTGCGTGAATCCACTGGGAGAGGACCCTGGTTTCCTCTGGTCTTCACCCTGATGCCTTTTGCCTTGGCTAACTGCTTGGTATCCTTGCCCCATAGTAAGTCCAAGCCATGAGCATGGCTATGTCCTGAGATCTGTGAGTTCTCCTAGATGATGATCGAACCTGGGGTTTCTCTTGGGGACCCCTGACACAAGTGTGTGCATTCCTGTTGAATACCCTGAAATCATGATCATGGCCTTTCTGCTCCCCAACAGCTCCATCCAGAGGTCACAAACTAGCAGTGGCAGTGTGGCTGAAGGCAGCTCAGAGAATGACTTTAGTCCATGAATCATTTTAATAACATGCATGGATTACCATGTGCTCATTTAACATAAATTACCTGCCCCCATTGAAAAATGGAAGGACTTCAGGTTAAAAATAATAACAATAGATTTCCTGCTTCTGCTGAAAAAACATTAAGTCTGGTTGTGATGGTCAGTTTCCCACAGGGCAACAGTGGGCGGAGCTAGGACAGCAGACCCATAGCAGGGGTGTAGCCAGTTCCCACCCAGTGCAAAGGTCCAGGCTGCAGCTGGCACAAAGCCCTGCCAACCTCTCACCTGACCTCCCTTGGGTCTCAATGACCCAAAGCACCACGTGCCTGGCCCTACACACACAGGTGTTGAGGCCTAAGCCAGGCCATCTTCGGGGGAGACTTTACTCCTCATCATCCTTTACAGAGGCATCAAAGGGCTGGGGAGTAGAGGCAGCCACAGGCAAGGTCTCTTCACAGGCCCAGAGTACATTCCTGGCACTGACAGCAATCATGAGACTCTTAGATGGGCAGGAATCCCCCAGCATCCTCAGTGTCTCTCTGGGTCAAAAAAGGACCCTGTGCCCATACTGAAAATCACAATCAATAACCTGGATACACATGTAGAGCACAAGGCACGACCCACAGCCCTCCTGAGAGCTGCCCTTCCCTTCCTAATAGGGCTGAACTGCTGAGACAATAAGATCAAAAGAGAAGGCCAGGCGCATGGGCTTGTACCTATAATGCCAGAGCTTTGAGAGATCAAGGCAGGAGAATCGCTTGAGCCCAGGAGTTCAAGACCAACCTGGGTAACACAGTGAGACCCCTGTCTCTACAAAAATTATTTTTAAAGAATTAGCCAGGTGTGGTGGTGTAAGACTGTAGTCCCAGCTACTCAGGGAGTTGAGGTGGGAGGATCGCTTGAGCCCACAAGTTCAAGGCTGTAGTGAGCTGTGATCAGGCCACTGTACTCCAGCCTGGGTGACAGAACTAGACTCTGTCTCTGAACAACCAAACAAAAAAAAATCAAAAGAGAAAAGAATTTCTTTTCAGGAGTAGACAGCTGCAAAATGTCTTACACCACCACAGCTCCCAAAGTCCCCAAAATGACCCCAGGCTGCAAACAGTCAGTCCCCTTTGCTCTCAATGGGGTAAAATACCACAATCATATTTTTGGAAATAAGAAGGATAAAAATAAATAACTAGGGAAGGCAGGTGCCTCCTTGGGAACCCCCCTTTTCTCCATCCAAAATACAGCAGCATCTTTCTTCTTAAAACAAATAGGAAAATAAACATATTTTTAAAATCCCAAGAGGTCAGAAAATTCCCTGCTTTGCCAAAACATGAATCCTATTGCCTGTATAGATCTGATCAACTGAACTCCCAAATCACAACATCACCACTGCAGCCACAGACAAGGCCTTGGGCACCCCCATAAGAACCAAAACCAGAGGGGCAAGGGAGCATGAGAGAGAACGCTTTGAATCCTAAGGACACATAATTACTTTAAGAGAAGGTATTGCACTCTACCTGACCTAAAGGGTATTAATACTTTAGGTCCTGAAACAAGATAGACTGAAAAAAAGACTGTGGGTGAGGAATTCAGACACATCAGATATTCTTAGATGAGCCAGGCACAGTGGTGCCTGTAATCCCAGCACTTTGGGAGGCCAAGGTGGACAGATTATTTGAGGGCA